TCGTCGTGACTGGTGGTACAACGTGGTCTGATTCCGGACTCGGTCTCTCTCGCACCCCCTTGCGGGCCCCGCCACACAGTGGGCCAGAAGGCCGGTGGAGGCGGCCAAAACTCTAGACGCGTTTTGAGCTCCAGAATCGCTAAACAGGACTCGAACCGAACGTGTTACCCCACCAGGGGAATCGTCGTTCGGAGAGCAACCCATTGGTGGGGTCACACGCTCGGTTCGAGACCTATTTAGCGACTCTGGAGCTCAAAACGCGTCGAGAGATTTGGCCGCCTCCACCGGTCTTCTGGCCCACTGTGCCCTCCGCCGCCGTGCTGTGCGTGCGAGAGGGACATGGCGACGAAAGCCGTTCGCTGGTCGTGAGGCTGCCGTTGAGCTCATTGGCCCCACGCGCGCGCGCGCGTGTGTGTATGTAAGTTTTCGTGTGTGTGTGTGTGTGTGTGTGTGTGTGTGTGTCGTGTCACGCGTGACATCGTGACGCTCGGTGTGGCAACGCTCGTTACGCGTTTGGAAGGGTGTTAATGCAAAGCACAGCTGGTCTGTGTAGGCCGAATGCCTGCTTACCGCCCGGCTTGCCGCGTCTAGCGTAGGTCAGGGGTCACTTAGTGGGTCACTTGGTGGGTCGCCTTGCCGTTGTTGTTGGCGCACCACTCGAGGCGTGCCAAACTGGCGGATTTTAGGCGCGTTGCCAGCACGGCACGCGGGAAGACCGCGGCGGTCTTCCGCCGTCCGGAGGCGCGGTCCGCGGGTTCGATCCCCGGCCGCGCGGCCTTTTTAATATTTCCCGGGGCGTCTCGTTAGGGTGATAGAGGTGATCCGGCCGCCGATCTGAATACTAATGAGAAGGCGGATGCTGCTCGTCTCCCTCGCACCCGAGGGGCGTGCCGCAGGGCCGCAGGGGTGCGAGAGAGACGTGCGGTGTCGTCATCGAAATCACAATGAAACCAGTTTGGCGGCAGGAGGCAAGGGGACTGACCGGGCGGGCCAGCAGCAGACTCATTCCGAGAGTCGCTTTTCGTCGCTCTGTCTCTCTCGCACCCACACGCAGCGGCCCGTGCGCGCGAGAGAGACAGAGCGACGAAAAGGTCTCAGTCTGCTGGCGGGCCTGACTGCCCCGGCAGGGCTGTCATGCCGCGGGAGGAGCAGGAGCCACTAAGGACAGTAACCCCGAATTGTTATTTCGGTGGCGGTGTGTCGGCGGTCTTAGGCAGCCCACGCCGTGCTGTGGGCCAGAAGGCGTGGAGGCGATCAAAGTCTCGGACGCGTTTTGAGCTCCAGAGTCCCATTCAGCTACTTTGGAGCTCATAACGCGTCTAGAATTTTTGCCGCCTCCGTCAGTCATGTGGCACACTGTGCGGCGCTACCGTCGCTACTCCACGCGCGAGAGACCCGATTTAAGCGCAGCGGTTGAGGGCCCCTCTCGCGCGGGGTATTCCCACCGGACACGCCGCCCGGTGCGCGTCTGCGCGTCAGTTTTGCAGTGGCGCAAGCGGCAAGCGGCACTACACTGCAATGGCATCACGGGGCGCTTCTCGGTGGCTGCCCCTGTCAAGGCCTGAGGCCTGCCTTGGCCATGCTTGGCTGCCCCACTGTCTCTGTCTCTCTCTTTCTCCCTCCGCTGCCTGCCCGAGGATAAACAGCGTTAAAGAACGAATCACGTCTGCAGGTTCGTTCAGAACAGTGTCGCTCTGTCTCTGTCGCGCTCGTCGCACGTTCCGCAGGTTCCGTAGGGTGTGACAGAGAGAGACACACACAGCGAAACCTATTCGCTCTCGGCGAGGCATAGCCATAGCCGCAGTGGCGGGCGAGCAGGGCGACCTCAGCGTCGACTCCGCCGATATCATGATTGATCAGCTGATGACGGCCAGGGCCACCCACTCCACTGCAAGCGCTACCCGCAGCCGTGCTGGCCGTGCTGCAGGCTGATTCCGAGAGTCGTTTTCGTCGCTCTGTCTCTCTCGCACTCATGGGGCGTCCTCTGTGGGCGCGAGAGAGACAGAGCCTCAGTCTGCCGCCCCGGTGCCGCATGCCGCGGGCCCCCATGGCACCATGATGGCACTGCCCGCACCGCCCGCACCGCGCCACGAGAAGCAGCAATTGGCCGCGACTCCCATGCATTTAAGGCATGTCTCCGAAAGAGAGAAAGGGAGAAAGAGAGAGAGAGAGACGCTGTTTGGAATGAACCTTCCGCCGCCTGCGCATCTTGCGGCATCTTGCCACGCCACTGGCAACACTCGGGCCCCCGCGCGTCCAAGTCTCTTTGAGTCTCCTCCAGTCGCCTCGCATCCGCGGCTGGGAGGCCTGGAAGGCTGGACGCTGGAACTGGAGTGCCTGGAGTGTACTGGAGCCAAGCCGGAGCTGGGTCAGTAGGGAAACGGGGAGGGCGGAAGGGGGAGCGGCGCCGCTGGTTCATTGACCGGCCAGCCCTGGCCAGCTCGTGCTCTGCAATGGCCAGCCGAGTTGCCAGCGCCGCCAGCGCGGCCGGGGAAGGGAAGGGGGGTCATGACCCCGGAGAGCCCAGCCCGCCCCGCCCCGCACGGAAACCCCTGTGGGATAGGCTGGCGGTAATCCTCCGAAATAACTCGGCCACTTCCCTCGGACGCGTTTTGAGCTGGAGAGTCGCTAAAGTAGACTCGAACCAAATGTGTGACCCCACCAATGGATTGCTCTCCGAACGAGGGATCATTTGGTGGGGTCACTCGTTTGGTTCTAGTCCCATTTAGCGACTATGCATGCAGCTCAAAACGCGTCTTGAGTTTTGGTCGCCTTCGCCGGTCGTCTGGCCCACTGTGCGCTGGCGATGATACATACCCCCTGCTGGTGACTTCCCTCGGTGGCGTCGCTCGAACGTGGAGTATCGCCTGGTCGTCGTTTCTCTCTTTTCCGCGGCTAAGCTAGCCGGATGGAAAATGCGAGAGAGGACGACGCCACACGCATACGCAGTGCGTTCCTCCTCCCTCCCCTCTGCCGTTTGCGGCGCGTTTTGCAGGCGTTTGGCTTGGCGTCGCGCTGCCGCCTTTTCTCATACTGTTATCTCAATCACCTCACGTAACGATGTGTCGCTGCGAGTGAGTGTGAGTAACACTCTCCGCAGCATCCTGCACACTCACCAAGGCACGCACACACGCATGCACTTATTAAACAGGGTCTTTATTCCTCTCGTTACCGCATTCCTCTATTCGAGCCCAGCCCTGTGGGCTGGCCGGGCTGGCAGTTCTCCGCGCGGAGGAGTTTGAAAAAAAAATCGTAGGCATTAACCTTTTGAATGAAATTGGCACGGCTTGTCTGATTCCGAGAGTCGTTTTCAACGCTGTCTTTCTCGCGCTCATGGGGCGTCCTGTCTGCGTGCGAGAGAGAGAGAGAGAGAGAGATGCGAAAACGACTCTCGGAATCAGACGATTGCTCTGCCCGACTTGCGGGCGACGGAGCGCCGCCGCGGCTGCCGCATCTGAAGCAACCGTGTCGCTCTGTCTCACTCTCGCGCCCCTGCGGCCTGCGGAGCGCCCCGCGAGTGCGAGAGAGATGGGGCGAGTCTGGAGTCGTCTGTATGGAAGCGACGTCCCGTTAGCGCGTTAGCGGGTCTAAATAGGGCGGCAGAGGACCTCTGCGGCTGCAGCTTGGCTAAGCTTAGCGAGGCGGCGGTGGCAGCCTTGGCGGCAGTGTGGTGTACATACATAGCAACCTAACAACGCACCACTGCACAGTGGGCCAGAAGACCGGTGGAGGCGGTCAAATTTGCGGACGCCTTATGAGCTCCAGAGTCACTAAATGGGACTCGAACCGGGCGTGTGGTCACACGTTCGGTTCGAGTCCCATTTAGCGACTCTGGAGGTCAAAACGCGCCCGGGATTTTGGCCCACCTCCACCGGTCTTCTGGCCCACTGTGTACTGGTGTCGTGTGAGATACGGTCACGTCAGCCAATATTCTGTCGTGAGATCGTTCGCTTGCGACGGCCGCTGTCCGGAAGCCTCGTTCTGCAGATTGATTCCGAGAGTCGTTTTCGTCGCGCTGTCTCTCTCGCTCTAATAGACCACCCCGTGTAGGAGCGAGAGGGACAGAGCGGCGAAAACGACTCTCGGAATCAGTCCGCTGGATTTGGCTCGGCGGGCTGTGTGCCTTGCAGGCCTTGCACCTCCCCGCCTTGCCACTCTGCCACCGAATGCGAGCGACGCGACCATCCTGCCAAGAAAAGCTGCATAGGGCTGCAGCACGGGCGGCTGCTATGATGCAAGTCGACTTTGCATAACGTGCATCTCTGTTAGCGTTAGGTCTAGCGTCGGGCTCCGTGCCCGCAGCAGAGTGAGCCAGAAAAGACCGGGGGAGGCGGTCAAAACTCACGCGTTTTGAGATCCAGAGTCGCTCGAACAGAACCAGATCCAGACTCGAACCGAACGTGTGACCCCACCAATGGATTCCTCGTTCGGAGCGCAATTTATTGGAGCTCAAAACGCCTCCGGTATTTTGAGCGCCTACCACCGGTCTTCTGGTCCACTGTGCATTGTGGTGCTAGCGCACCAACCTAGATGGATAGGTCAAGGCGTTCCTAGTTTCTGCTCCGGTGTATAGCGCAGTGCACCGACCCGTGTACGAGACGTTACTCCCACCGGATAACCCAGTCTCACTTGCGTACTCGCTTTGGACGGGCCGATGGGGAACCCCCTGCGCTATGAGTCCGATTCTAATCGGGTTACGTACAGCCAGTGCTGGCCGTGTGCTGTGTGGACAAAGGGTTGTGTTTGTTGGGCTTCGCGGGACCACGCCGCGCTGGGGAGCTCCACCCGCCTCTTTGCTCATTTTCGGTTTTCAGCTTGTTTCCAGCAGACTGATTCCGAGAGTTGGTTTCGCCGCTCTGTCTCTCCCGCACTCATGGTGCTGCCTGTATGAGTGCTAAATAGACAGCGCGACGAAAACGCCTCTCGGAATCAGTCTGCAGCCAGTACACTGACCTCTGGTATTGTCGCCACCTAACGCCCTTCCCTTCGGTGTGTTGCAGTACGGGCTGCGCCAGCTGGACCTGTCGCTGCTGTCGCAGCTGTGGTCGCTCAACGAGTCCATCCAGGAGTTCCGGCAGCTGCTGCAGGACGAGGACGCCGACGGCCTGGAGGGCGCCGCCCTGTCGCCGCCGTCGCCGACGTCGCCCGCGTCGCCGCAGAGCTCCGAGGACGACCTGCGCGACCTGAGGGACGCCGACGAGCTGTACTCCGGACTTGGCCTGCCGCTGCAAGGCCTGCAGGGATTCCAGGGGCTCCAGGGATTCCAGGGCCTGCAGGGCTTCCAGGGCTTCCCCACGCAGGGTGTGCCGGGCGTGCAGGGCGCGCGCTACCACCGGCCCGGCACGGCGCCGCCACCCGCACCCACGTCCGCCCCCGCGCACCGCCACTACCACTCGGGCCGTACCAGCACTGTGGACTTCGGCGACGTCTGATGGCGGTCCAACACCAGCCTCCATTCGTAATCGGGTGTGGCAGGACAGTGACCACGTGACCAACCTCGGTCAGCAAGTCCCGGCACCTGTTGTGTGCAGACTGACTCGGAGGCGCTAGGAGCGTCGTTGAGGCTGCCCGTCTGCATTCTTGTATCTGTTTTATAGCTTTCTTTTGCGTGTGTGCGTCTATCTGTGTGTGTATCTGTGTGTGTATATGTGTGTGTGCATTTGCGTGGATGTTCTCGTGAGCTGTGCAGTCGTTAATTGTACAATAATTGTATAGGAAGTGTGACATGTGTTTTGATGCAAGGCTAGTGGAACTTGAGTTGTCCTAGAAAATGGAACGTTTCTTGTCATACCATGTTTATCGCAATCCGTACCCAAATTGATTGCTAACTAAAGAGACTGTTCTTGTTTAATCGTAGGGTCTACAGTTCTATCAAATCAATGGCCTTTTGTTGGATCCAGTCTTAACTTTTTCAAATAGAAGCTTTTAATTGTTTATTGATTTTAACTAAAACACCCAAATTGCCTTCATAGAAATATTAAATCATTTTGAAAAGTGGACTAGTGCCCCGTTTTATTTTCCACACCAAATAAAGGGTTCTTTCTTTCTTTCTTTCCTATAAGCACTCATTCCTTTTTTAGATCTGTGAGAGAGTCCAGTAGGCTAGATACCTTTCAGAGGGAGGACTGCCTGCGATTAGTGTAGCTGCTTTCTTTCTAAGACATGGATTTGAATGAAACCAAACGGAAACGATCCATCCCTGAGTGGATGAAATGTCCAGACTCCTCTCCTATTAAAAGTCCAAATAAAACTAAAAGCAGAGGCCTTAAACCGCAACGCCCTAGCTATCCGACAATTTCTATTAAGAAGTCAAAACAAATTCCAAAGCCTGTCAAAGATGCAGTGCCACACACTAGTAAACCTCACCAACCAAAAATCTCAGGACCTCCACTAGGCCAAAAGATTGAAAGTGGGGAATGCAGCAGCAGCAGCTTTGCAGTTGATTTTCAGGCGGAAAGTTACACTGTTTCAGAAGACGATTATTTAATGACTGTGGATGAACTAACTGGTGTCGCTCAAGAACTGATTAATGAAGCTCGTCAGGAAAAGAGGCTTTTATAGCCAACTTTTAACATCTAGTTCTTTTTATATTGCTTTCTTGAACTTCTACTTTACTGTTGAAAAATTTTAAGTCATGGCTTGAGTGGATGTGCAATGTTTTTCTTCTGTTTGACATTTAGGTTTTTCTATTTCTTTGAGGAATTAAAGTGGTCGTGTAGGCTGGTGCAGCTTAAAAATACTTAAATTTAACATTTTTGTAAGGTTATATGCAGGAAATTCTGAAATGATTTACCTGAACAAAAAAATTAATCCAAAATGTGTTTTTTGTAGGCTTGCTTACACTGTGATAATATTTCTCAATGGTATTCTGATGTGTTGAAAATGTTTGACAATACAATTTTTTCCTCATGATTTAGCTTTTTTGAGAGGTTTATTAGTTAAGTAGCTTTTGCAGAATGTGTCATCACTTTGTATTCAGTAACTTCCTATGGAGTAACCAGTAGGATGGATAAATTACCTAATGTTGTGGATTGTCACGTTCAGAAACAATTATGCACATATCAGTCAAACTGAGGAAGACATTTTATACTGTGCACAAATGCTCACTACAGATCCACTAGGGCCTCTTACTGACTACTGAAATTTTAAAATTTACAGGTGACTTCCAGATGTTGAATGGGGCATCGTCTTTTATTCCAAATGCTGTAGGGTTGTCCAGTAAAAATTTAAACACATTTCCATGCTTTTTTTACGGAGATGAGATTCCTTGAAATCTAGTTGCTAGTCTCATCTTAGATTGGATATCTTATTACCAGTTACAGTACGACTAAGCATTAATGACTATAATTACACTACAGTATCTGGTAACTGTTTCCAGATGTTATTTTAAGGGATTTGAACTGTCTCAATTCTTTGATACTTGGCAATTGTATTGCCACTTCTTTTCTGTTAAGACTGTATCTTGCATCCACTGAAGATGGAATAATAATCAATTTATATGTATGTGATCTTTGTTCAATTTGTGTGTATTGTGATTGCGGTTGTCAATGTTTTTTTAATAAATATTATTGTAGGAACTGAAATCTTTTTTCTCATTTACTCCCAAACATTTTTATACATGCTTAGCTTGAGTCTCTGAGTCTGAGGATAAAAAGGAGGAGGAATTTTAAGAGTTTGGAAAAAAAAAAAAACAAAAAAAAAACAATTTGAGTTTGCTGATATTTTATTTTTTTGTGGCTAGATTCTGATCAGTTCATTTAAAAACTGTGTTTCCACAATCAAGTTCAATGATGAAAAAAAATTATGATTTTCTTTAATTTTGATGATAATCCGTACCATTCCAGAATATATATAGTATCTACATAATTTTCTTCAGGCCTCAAAGCTTTTATTTGCTTAGTTTCGTTTTTGAGATGGTGGCTCTGAAACCAAAAAGATCATAAAGGTTAAGCAGGTGCATGACAGAAGCAAGATAAGAATTAAATTGAAATCCATTCATTTGAGTTGGTGTGTGCAACTTACGTTTGGTGCTTTCCTCCACTGAGAACAATAAATGCAGATTGAGTCTCTTTCTGCTTGGCTTGCAACATGTTTAGGGTTCCAAGAGGAGTGTCTGTAGAGCTCATTTGCTTCATAAGCTACGAGAAAAAGATCAAATTAGAATGCAGATGTTTTGAGTCAAAGTGACAAAAAACTTATGACAAATGACGGCATTTCACTTACAACATCTTGCTCCTTCTTTTTCATCCTCTTCTCAACCTTATTCTTTCCTGGTCCTTTGCCATGAAACTTGTGTGAGAGGTACCTGAATGAATCAGCAAGGACAATGTTGAATTTAAAAATTGTTGGCAATAACATACTCCAATTCTTTCTACCATGTTTTGTGTAAGACACAGAAAAAAACAAAAAGAAAATCTTAATACCTGAATGCCTCTTTGGCATTGAGCACATGACCTTCATCATCAATATAGTCAAGCTTGACATTTGGTTTGTATCCATCCTTGTCTTTGAATTCAGATGTTGGACCGGCATACCTTTCTCGTCTCCCAAACTTATCATCCTCACTGAAAAATAGTTAAGGAAATAATAAATAATTTTGCTAAGGAGTTAAAGTTTCTTTGAGCAATGAAACTTACGCATGTGTTTTGTCTTCAATTGAATAGTTTTGGGCCTGCAAATGAGCAAATCGGGAGGCTGAAGGCCTATTGGAAACCTCCTTTTCCAAATAGCCTTTGCTAACAGCTAACCTCAAGGCACCAGCCATTCCTCCACCCAAATCTGGCTCTGGGTCCAAGATGGGTGTCTCCATAGGTTCTATTTCTGCTGGAGGTTCATCTGATAAAAAAATTAAAAACAAAATTGTGCTTTAATTACAACTTTAAACTCCCACAAAATACCACTGTTCCATTTATTAAATGAAGTACATACCGCCTTCCACCTCATTCCACGCTCCTCGTTTTCCATCCTCTTCCTGTCTGCGCCGTTGCTCCTCAATCATTTCTCGCTCAAAATCCTGAGATGATAATGAAATTCCAAATTACACTGAATGCAACAATAGGCTTATGGTTTCCTTTGCTATAGCAAGAGATACTTACAAGGAGTTCCTCAGCATCTTCATCTCTGTTTCCCGCAAGACCATAAGTTGGAATATCACCTAGGGTACGACAGAACTCAGCTGTGGAATTGAGAACAATGGAACCACCAGGTTCTGTCTCTCCAAAGGCAGGCTGTAATTCCTCCTTGACAATAGACTGCGCCACCTAAAAGCAAATTTCTCTAACATTCAAACTTACATCATCTAAGTTTCATAAATACTAATATTAAGATATAATCTTTTTACCATCTCCACATTTGCAGCTTCTTCTACTGCTTCCCTCTGCATTAATCTCCGGGCCTTTTTCAGAGCAAGCTCCAACTGCAAATCCTCTTCTGGTTCCACTTTAATGGTAGCAATATCCGCAGGAAGAGCTACAAAATCACACAATTTGTACAATTACTTTCATATCTACTGAGAAAAGAAAGGAAATTTGAAATAAAAGTACATACGGGGCAAGTCATCAAGGTCTATTTCCATAGGTTCCTCTTTTATGTTCTCATCATCTACGGTACTTATTCGAGGAGGAGGGGGTGCCTTCAATTCATCGTCATCATCAACAACACGAGACCTTATCCGCCTTGACCCAAAATCTTTGGAAGGATCTTCCTGCTTTGTAATAGCAGCTAAGTCATCAGCCTTCAATATCCCCTTCTTACGGACTTTCTTAACCTGAAACAAACAAAATTGTGGGTTACTGCAACTTTCAAAGACAAAGAAAAAAAAAGGACAACATCAGAATTACAATACAATGCATTTTGCTTACAACAGTAAAACATATATTGTGCTCACCTTTTTTATTTTCTTGAATTTAGTACTGATTTCTTCCTCATTGTAGTACTCTGCTGCAAGCTTGGGTGCTGGCATTGCAAGAGTTTCTAGACGTTTTTTCATCAATTTATTTTTTACACTGAGAGCCTCTTCCCTTTTACGGGCCAGTGCAGCAGCAGAGTCATCCACACCTTGAAAGCCACAATGGAAATAAAAATCAACAATCTGTGGCACAAATAACACTAGCAAAACAAAAAAAAAAGAAAAAGGGGGGGGGGGGGGGCCAAGCACCAACATACCAATGGTGAAGCTCTTCTTCTTGACCCCATCAATTTCTTCATCATATTTTGATAAAACTTTAACTTGAGGGTCTTCATATGTATCCATTTCCTCATCATCATAGGCATTGTAACCAGGCTTTTGTTTCCTCCTGTCAATGTTCTGCAAAAATTTCAAAGAAAAATGATTTTGCATTCAAACAGAAATAAATGATTAAGAAGTACAAACTGGATTCATAAGGCAACTCACCTTCTTATGATGTTCATCATCCAACATGTTTACATTAACCAACACATCACCCTCTTCTTCCAACACACCCTGATCCTTCAAGGTTAAAATTACTTGCTTGCCATCACCAAAGCTCCCCTGAAATTACATTTTAAAAACATCAATGACTTATCGATTGGATGGAATGTTGCCAATTGCAACATGCCAGTTTATCATAGGAAAAATTACCAAATCATGTTCAACACGGAGCCCCCTCAGGTCTTTGGTACTGTACACATTTCGCCGCTCTGTTTTCATTTCTTCAGCGACAAGGTCTCCAACACCAAACTCTTCATCCATTTCTTGTAACAATTTAGCCTAGGGATAAAACCACAACCTTGAATAAAATCACGGATGCAAAGGTAAAAAGATAAGAAGTAAATAGGATTCAGTACTAACTCTTTTTTCTGCTTGTGCTTTTTCTTCAGCAATCTTACGGCTCTTGTCAATCCAAGAAGTTGCACTTTCCTCTTCATCGCTACTTGATTCACCTAGTTTCTTTATTCTGGCCAATTTTTGTTCCATGACACGTTTTGCTCTTCGCTCTGCCAGCTTCTCTTTGAGTTTGTCAGCCTTGACTTTCTTGGCCAGGTTATCTAAAACAAACACAATGCTAGTATACTACCTCTATGAAAATTCAGCAGGATTATAAATGGCTCATGGCATTAGTCAGTACCTGCAGGTTTGTGGACAAACTCTCCAAGATCATCATTGATAACTTCCAAACCAAACTCGGCTGCAGTCTTCTCAGTAGAGTTTTTATAGTCATTGTCAGCTCGCACTTCCACAGAGGTGGGTTTGTCATCAACTTGTAGAGGTTTCAAACCCAGTTTTGCACGTATTCTGTTTGTCTCCTCAATTGACAATGAGTCTCCTGCACCAGAGCTAGACTCGGGTGGTGCATTTGAAATAGCTGGAGGAGGAGGAGGGGGTGGGGTGGCTTGACGAGATATCTTTGGTGGTGGTGGAACCACAATGCAATCATCATCTGTAAAGATAAGACAGAAATATTCAAGTTAAACTTTACTTTCATTGTCAAAACAGATCCTAGCCACACAGACGCTGTTCTGCGAGTGACCTGTATCTGGGATGAAGAGAGGATATGAATGGGGACACTATGAGTGAGAAAAAAATTGGAAAGCCCTGAATTGATGCTCCAATTCAGATGACAAATAAAAAGTAACTTCAAGATAGCAGCTCTGTGTGTCAAGACATCGTTAGGTTAGGTCCACACAATTTCTAAGAACCATTACAGAGAAACAGACAAAGAGGCAGTTAACAGTACAGAAAATGACAATTACCGGAGCTAATGTAAGTCGGACTATCTTCTTTAGGGCGTTTTTCTGCTCTCTTGTCCTTGTGATGTCTCTTGTGGTGGCGGTGTTTTGCTCTTTCACGCTCCCTCTCCCTCTCCCGTTCCCTTTCCCGCTCCCTCTCTTTCTCGACAGATCTTGAACGACTTCTACTCCGGTGCTTGCGCTTTTCTTTTTTATGTTTATGGCCCATTTTGAAATATTAATCAAAATCTAACAAAACAGAACATAAATTTTACGCCGGACACTGTGGTTGCGTTGAGTTTACGTTCGACAGACAGAACCGTGCGAATAGTGTTTCGTCCTGTCTATAGCCCATTGGTGTTGACACCAACAAATGGTACTGCCAATAGTCATGGGCAAGTTGGGCCAGAGTGTCTCTGGGAGTCCCAGACTCCCAGACTCCACTCTACTCGCATGGGCGTGCTCTGGGTGTGCTCGGGGGAGAAGTCTCACCACAAAAACCAGTGTATTAATTGTGGTGCTCATGCAGCAGAGTAACTTAGGGTTCACAATATAATGAGGCCATCACGAGGTCACACTAATTTATTTTTATCCACCAGCAACAAGAATAAGACATAAATTTACCCACTAATATATTTTTCTAGGAGAAGAAAGAAAAATAAAACCACAATATCATTTCACAATTATAAAGTACAGTGAATGGGTCATTACAAACAAACGCAATTTACGGCAAAGGGATTTAATACTATTTACATATTTAAGGCAGCTTAGATCAAGCAATGTGCTTTAGAAATTCAAAATATTTGGTAGGATGCACATAAGGGGTGTGACAGTATCGTCAATTTTGGTATAGTGTTGAACTATAGAGAAGCAGTCTAAATAATGGGACCACTACGCGACGGTCCATGTTTATGTTGAAGGTATGTACATTTGACTTAAGTCTAAGTGAAATAGTAAATTTTCAATACATAAAGGTATGTACAGTCTACTATTCTGCCAGAGACTTCACATCCTGAAAAATAAATCAAAATTGTAGAAAGTCAACATAGTAATAATAATAAAAATTAAAGTGTAAGAGACCAGAACCTAGGTGAACTTACATCATTTTTGCCTAGGACTTGCATGACTTCTGTTGCTGAAAGAGTTTTATACTTAATCAAAGCACCTGCTAATTTATGTAGATCATCAGCATGAGTTGATAATAACTTCCTGGCACGCTCCTTAGATTCCTAAAATCAAAAAGAAAGAAAGGAAGAATAATTGCATCATTTCAACTTGCAAAATCAGAATTTTTCTCATTACTTTTCAACGATTAGGTTACCTTAAGAAGAATGTCTATATCTGAATCTACAACTGATTGCGCTGCCTCGCCAAGCTTTTCTTCTTCGTTTATGACACGGCTGTTGGTTTCCATGCCAAAAGATTTCACCATCATTTTGGCAAGTTTAGTAGCAACCTAGAATGAGGTTGATAAAATTATTAGCTACATTTCAGGGTAAGAAGGTCAAGTTCAAGTTCAATTTTATCAATCCGAACAAATTACATTTATATCTGAGGCGCATCCACTGGACACACCATCAGTTCCATAAAGTAGCTCTTCAGCAACTGTTCCTCCAAAACAGATGTCCATCTCTGCTTTGTATTCTGCCTTGGTTTTATGTCTGGCATTTCCTTCAAGGAAGGTTGTCTGCAGGAATGATATGATCAATTGCACTGATGTCATCAAAGCCCAATTCTGAAGGTGGTATTTGATTGATGGTTGTGGCGGTACTTACATGTCCTAGTGCAGGGCCCCGAGGTTCAATTGTTACCTTGTGCACTGCATTAGTGCCTGGAGTTAAGATTGCAACTAGTGTGTGACCTGCCTCATGGTAAGCAGTTATTCTCATATCTGATGCCATAATTTCACTAGAAGAGCCCCAGGCAACACCTAGAAAAACAAATAATGCTCAGCTTCTAATTAAAAGTTACAAAATAAGAGGATTTGATAAGTGTTTCAAAAGGCACTTACCCAATACTAATCTATCAAATGCTTCAAATATGTGATGCATCCCCACATACTCTGCATTTTCGACGGCGGCGTTAATTGCGGCCTAATGACAAATGGAAAAGAAAAAGTGATTGAGATATATACAAAAGTCAACTAAATAACAATCTTAAAACTTCATACTCACCCAGTTAATAAGATTTTCAAGCCTAGCACCATTCCAGTCACTTGTCAATCTAACAACTTGATCAATGTCAATGTTTCGGCAAGCAACTTTCTGCAAGTAATACTCAATAATATCGCGTCTTTCTGAACTTGAGGGGACAGGTACCTAGAATAAACAGAACAGTAGAATTACATTAGGGTGAGACTTTGCCATGCAGAAATAAACTTTGTCATGCAACAATAAAGGAGCTATACCTTGATGGTCATATCAAAACGGCCGGGCCTCATGAGAGCAGGGTCCAAATCATCATCTCTGTTGGTAGCAGCTAGGACCATCACTCCCGAGTTTACTTCAAAGCTAGAACAGAGGCAACCAAATTGTTGAAGCATATAGACATTAAATACGGAAAAAAATTATTTCACATAAACCTACCCATCCATTTCAGAGAGCAGCTGATTGATAGTTTGGTTAGCATATGGATGAAAATGGGAGTTTACTCTCTTCCTTCCAACTGTATCAATTTCATCAAAAAAGACAACACATGGGGCATTTTCTCTAGCAACACCTGTTACAAAACAGAAAAAGAAAACAAATGGTGAAAACTGAAAAAATATAAATACATTGAAAAATAAGTTTTTGGAGGTTTAATTTTAAATACATGTAGTTGGCCTTACGGAACAATTCACGAATTCGCTTAGAACCCATTCCAACAAAAGTCTCATCAAATTCAGACCCAGCAACGAAGAAAAACGGCACCCCTGCTTCTCCAGCAATAGCCCTAGCAAGCAGGGTCTTCCCAACACCAGGCTCTCCAACCATCAGAACACCTAAATAGAAACAATGGTAATGAGTGCATTGTAATTATTGAAAAACACCAACATATTATAAAGACTTTATTATTCTACCTTTGGGTGCCCTAGCTCCAAGTTGTGAAAAAGTCTTAGGATTTTTCAAACTATTCACCACTGTTTTCAGCTCGTTTTTGACTTGTTCGCACTAAGAAAACAATAAAAATACAAAGCCAAAATAAAATTAGATAGGTTTAAACATTGCAATACACTTAATTCAAATTGCCTGACATACCCCTCTGAAATCATCAAATGTCACGTTGACTTCTTCTGAGTTGAATGCATTAAACCTATTCCCATTGAATCTTGTAAAAAAGACATAAGCTGAGGCAAAATAAATAATTAGTGAGACATCAAAAAATAATACCAACAGACAGACTAAGATTGGGTTGAGAAAATATACTCACCTAAGAGAATTGTAGCTAATATACTACCACCAAACATCCAAGACACTCTTGTATACCATCTGGTGGAGATTTTCTTTTCAATTTGTTGATAAATTGAAATAAACTCAGCAACTAAACAGAAGGACATGGCAATACATGAATAAAACTATTTTTAGACTGAAGCAGAGTAGAAAAATTTACAATCTAAAGTAAGTCTACACAGCATACCACTTTTGGGATCAAACTTTTCCAAGTAATGTTCTCCAATTTCAGGGTTTGCCTTTCGCTTCTGATAGAATGCACCAAGCCATTTTTCTTTTTCTTTCTCCACCATTCGCTCTGTTTTGAACCCTCTCACCTGAAAGGCTGCAAAAATTATTTGGTTACAGAATATACATGACAAAAAAAATAAGTGTTCTTTAGTTTTTAGTTTTTTTTTTAAGGCAAAATTGCTGATACTTACTGTGGTTGTTTATATGGAGTAAACCATTTTTAGAGGACAGGATGCATACCAGGTTGGAGATCTTCGAAGACGGAAGGTGGTGTAGACCTTTGCTTGCACCAAATAATGGTGACACATCCCAAGTGGCATGCTTTGTTTTTTGAAAAATTGGCAACCTCAACTGAGTAGATTTCTTTGATTCACTTAAGTAAATACTTGTTTGAGCCCCCATCAATTTGTTACCTAACCGACACCATCTTAAATTTGGTTTGGTAATGTACAAAATCATCTCACTCTTTAAATTTTTCACAGCCTGGAAAATAAAATGATGTCATCAAACATACAACACAACATTATGAAAAAGACTGCAAGCAAATCACACTCAAATAAAGGTGTCCGCACCTCGTCAAAACTTTCATTACATGTTATAGTAACTGGCTTGAAAGAACTTTTCCTCCTATGGGAGACCTTTGAAGCTTTAAACCCATTTACTAGTTGTGCTGTTGATGTGGTTAAACAGTTAGATAGTTGTGAAAGCTGATACACTACCTGTACAACAAAGAAACAGGATAAAAATTACTGCAAAGAAAGTCAAGTCTCGACACCTTCGACAGAAGAAGTTTGCCATTCCTTTGACATGAGAGCACAATATTCTAAATTAAATAAATTTGCAGCTCAGATTCACGTAGGACACTTCGAATGTCACTTTAATGTAAATTTGGACAGCAGCCAATTTAATAAAAAGTCCTTTTGTGTATGTTACATCACCCAACATCTGCAGGATCATTCATTGCTAACAAACAACGAAAAAATATCAAGTCCCACTGACAACCAGGGATTGTGGTCTTGCACAAATATCGGGTTTCTACACAAAATGTTTCTGCACGAGGGCAAATTTCTTGAACACTTCCATATGCAATAACCCCAATATCTGGAAGTGACAAGGCTTTAAGGTTATAGTAACCCACCACCATATCATTACCGGATGATAAGGTTGCAACGACAGCATTGTCAATGATCGACTCTATTTCAGTAGTACGAACAAAACCTTTTGAGAACAAAGCAGTAATTTTAAATGTACAGAAAACAGTTTAAAATTGGGCAATAATCGTTAAAGTAAACTGAGTCGGCATTGTGGATAGGACTCTTAAAAATATGCGAAATACATATCCTGCCTGAGTTGCAATTTCGCATACTACGTTCCGTCTGTTTGGTTGATGGTTTACTTTAACCTAAAACTCTTTTCAGTTTGAAGATTGATTGTGTCTTCCCGCAACTTATTTGTTACTCCTAGCCAGTATCTAAATTAATTTGGGATCTATTTATTTGTGAAATTAAACCATCAATATGGCGGTTTATAACGACGAGAAACTGCGAGCCATGGAAGACGAAATGAACAGGTATTATATTAAGTTAAACTGTTCTGTCAGGATCCATTACTTCATGGTTTATGTTCTTTTTATTGAGTTTTTCCCTTGACCCATCGTGCCACTTTTTGTTTTTGTTTCCGTGAATCAATTTATGTCCATGTACTTGTCACGGTTTACTACTATTAATTCTGCTCTACGTTTCTTGTCTGTACATATTGCATCTTTTTAACTAATTGCTCAGATTCGAGGAAGAAATTGGGCTGCCCATCATGCCTCCACCACCCCCTCCACACCTTCCTGCTGTCATTGGTGCAAACACCTACCACACTGTTCAGAGACGGCTGGAGGAGCAGCAGTATGTACCAGGGGGGATGGGTGGCTACCCGACTGTACCAGGAATTCCACCACCTCCACCTCCACCTATGCTTGTTCCACATCAAGTTCGCCTGCGCGCACCCCCAATCCGCCATCGTAAGTGTCTAGAACTCAAAGAATAATTTTTGCAATAAATTTGACGCTTTTAGTAATGTATCTTGTTTATTTTAGCCATGCGGCCCATGGGAGCAGAGCAGCCCCAGCAAGGATATCAGCCTCCAACTCCTTACATCAACCACATGGGTCCTGGAATGATGCCTGTTCAGCCCATCCCATCAATGCAGCCTGTGCCCTCAGTAGTCAGGTATCAAGGGTGGTTCATTATACCCAAATAATACTCTATTTGATAGTGTTTTAAACTCGGTTTTCCACTACTTTTGCAGTGCTACACCAATGATGTATGCACCTCAAGTAAATGAACCGCAAATACCCATAAATATGATGGACCAACGAGCATACAGTGTGCCTGAAGTATCCAATTTGGCACCTGCTGCCATAGTTCAAGAGAGCATTATTCCCTCAACATCAGTGGATACAACCCGTATCAAACCAAAAATACCTAGGGAAATTCCAATATTACCTCCACCCCCAATTCCTATGATGGAGGAAGCAGCTCCTTCCAAGAAAAAGAAGAATAAGAAAATTGTCCGTCAAGCAGGTGGCCAGTCATGGGAAGATCCCTCCTTAATGGAATGGGAAGAAGGTATATAATTAATTTAAAAAAATAATTTAAAACTTAAACTTTTATTTTTACTAAAAGTAATTTTGTTTGCCTTGTCTTATTGTTATCTTTGTCGACAGATGACTTCCGATTATTTTGTGGAGATTTAGGCAACGACGTTACTGACGAGATTTTAATAAGGACTTTCAGCAAGTATCCATCGTTCCTTAAAGCTAAGGTGGTTCGTGACAAACGAACCAATAAAACAAAAGGTTTTGGATTTGTGAGTTTTAAAGATCCTCAAGACTTCACCAGAGCAATGAAAGAAATGAATGGTAAACTTGCCAAAATATGGACCCTCAATACTTCCACTTAAGTGTTACTGTTTTATCAACTTTATTACTTATTTTCCAGGGAGGTATGTAGGAAGTCGACCCATAAAGTTGAGGAAGAGCTCTTGGAGAAACAGATCCGCTGATGTTGTAAGGAAGAAGGAAAAGGAAAAGGCAGCACTTATTGGTCTTCTGACAGGAAAGTAAAATCTTATCTTATGTGAATGTGTATGAATGTTAAAGGCATCACACTGAGTAGTGTGTGCAGAGTCTGTGACTATGATAAATTTAAAAGCTTTGTTTTCAATATCCATCAATCTCAATTTATTACAATAAACTAATCAAATTGAACAACCATTGCTAAATGAAAAATCTCCTATATGATCATGCTGCCAATTTTGAGGAGGGAGGGGGCATCCAAAGGAAAGTCTTCATTCACATGTGCTCCACATGAGCATTTTATTGCTTGCAACTAACCAACTGTTACAGAGCTGAATCTGCTTCTATCAGCAGAAAACAACATAGGGAAAGCTGCAAATTTTATATCACACAATAACCGTAAGTAACAAGTCTTTGAAAGTCATTAACAGGGGAATGTGGGTTCCACATAAAACTAATAACAAAATCCAAATCTTTTCTAAAGACAACATAGATGGTTATATGGAAGTCACAAGGTACGATTCTAATTTGGTGAACAGCAATTCTATGATAGCACAAAACATGAGTCACCTGTTTAACCAAACAAATATTTACAAACAATTTGAATAAGAAATCTTGTGATCAAAACATTTAAAAAGAATCACTCACTCTTCATCATTGAGTACCTGGGATCAAAAAATTTATGGAGAGAAAATATTTGGCTGCATACTTCCAGGTCTCTTAATGAATTCTGTTACCATTATGTTGTTTGAGCTTCAAGAAAAAAAATCGTGTGATAGAGGTCATACTAAATCACTGCAAGCAGTTTATAATATAAATTACCAACATGCACCTCAAATACCCATCATGCACAAAGCTCTCCACTGTAAATACTATCACAAATTTCCTGTGACCAATCTTACATTTTGCCAACTTACTTTTTTCTACACAGCATGCTTAACACACTTCACACCAAGAATACCTAAAGTATAACAATTACAATTCAGATCGATTTAAGTACCTTTTTTTATTACTGATCCTAAATCTATGACTTGTTTTCTTACATAACCATTATGTCTTCAGCACTTAAATCGTCAATTCGCACACTTTCTTCAACCATAGAACAACAATTTATCATTAATCATTGGCTTTGCACACATTTTGACATGACATCTCACTGCAACAGAAACTGAATGGCGTTTTCACTGGAATAGAGTGGGCTTGTTAGGAATTCAATGGAATTTATAAACGCCAAATTCATTAGATCTTGGGAAGTCATGAAATCAGATGAGTCAAATGCTAGAAGGCAAGAACGTGACAAGGATAAGTTTTGGTCTCAGATGTCTAAACACAACACAGATCAGGTATTGTCGGAACTAATGAAGACTTTTGAGTCTGCATTGTCTTTTTCACACAATGGCACCTCAAAACATAGAGAAAAGTAATAGAAGAAGCCTGCGATAAGAAAGGATATAAATCAATCAGAATTAGAAATTAGGCAAGACAAGTGAGAAACCAACCACATGAGAGCAATTCTTTACAGAGTAGCTTGAGCAAACACCAAATAAACCCAACTAGCAGAAAACCTTTGAACTGTTGAACTACTTAGCAAATATGATTTTGTGTGGTTGATCTACAAGGCTATCACATCATGAAGTTATGTGACCTCCCTTTCCACCAAATAAACTAAACTATTTGCTAATCAAGCACTCAACATACCATAAGCAAATCTACAACCAACTGCTGTCTTCAAAAGAATGAAAGAAACGAGATTAATTGATACAATAATTAACACGGATAACACAGATAAAAAAATCTAAACTAGACACTTAAAATGCCACTGCTCAGTATATCACAATAAAACAATGTACCTGACACTTCCATGGGAGATGGGGCATTTTTAAAGGTACAGCCACAGCACAAAACTTAAAACAAAGGTAGAAAGGGTTAAGTGTTAGCCTGAAAAGTGGGATATGCAAAAGGTGCCGATACTGCACTTAATAACGCTGATTATTTGTATATAGGTAGATTTTGAAAAAGAAAACAGTAATAAACTGACAGAACTACTGGAATACTGTTCCCATAAAATACAACATAATTTTCAAGACATACCTAATCATTTTTGTCTCTGACTAACCAGGAGAATAAACCTCAGGTAGAACTTGATGGATTTGGTAAGTACAGTGATGTCTCATTTGATTAGTACTGAATACATTGGAAGCCTAAAATCAGCCCTAAATCAAACGAGTACAGAAAAGGAAGCTCTAATATGGAAGATCATAATTTCTGAATAATTTATCTTAGCTATACAAAGGTGGATTAATATAACCCACATACAAGACGTTCATTTACTTCCCAGGAACAGGACAAGGTGTTATTTTGGAACAAAAAAGGAGAAATATTTCTTTCCAGTGTCTATGGTCACAGAAAGGAACTGATACATAAGGAGAAAGAAGAACTTGCTGCTGCATCAAACAAAGCAATGTTTAAGCAAACAAGAAACAAACTTTCTTTGTGTCTTTTTTTGTTTTGTTTTTTGCATTTCATTTGAGCAACAGAATGTAGGCACACCTACATCAAAATATTTCAAGGCAAATCGAGATAAGTTTCTGCTGCAAACAAGCAATGAAAATGAAGCAGCAATGATGGCAAATACATCTCAGACAAAAATACAGACATATGAGCATATATAACACAATAAATCTTAAAAAATAATCAGTTTAGAAATTAACATCACAAAACTCACAACACCCAAGGTCCCCACAAGAAATGCAGCAGTCTTGTAGCATTTGTAACAAATAAAAGAGATGTGAATTTACGTTGGGTAGTTCGAATTGAAAACCAAAAGATGTAAAATGCAGCTGTAACAAGGAAAAGATAATAAAAAAGAACTAAGGATCAGATCTATCTTGAAGCATGAATTTTTCTCCAGTGGAGTGGTTTCTCTTTTTCATTAGATTCCCCACAAAATGATAACAGCATTAGGAAAGCTGTGGCTAAGACACTTCTTAGTCGCTAGTGAGAGACCTTGGAGTTTCTAGGTGTATTCTGTGGGAAAACTAGTACAAGATAGTACAGATTATTGGGAGGGAAGGGAAGTAGGCCGTTTCCTTTTCTTCAAAATAAATAAATAAATAATATTAAACAATTGTAAATGAACACAAACTCACGACATCCAAAACAGTAAAACAAAATATTAAATAAACAGCTGTGGCTAAGCATACAGGGGACTTTGTCACAAAGTATGCAGGAGATGAGTGAAAGGAGAGAGGTGCAGTGGCAAGATGTGTTAAGGGAGCTGAGCATTGTGGTATGATTAATTGATGGAATAAACCTTACTGAGTGTGACTAGGCCCTACACCACTTACTCTTACCTGAAACTACGAGTAAGAAGAGAACACACAGTCCTATGTATGCAGCAAGGGACAGCACTTAGAATGCAAATACAGAGTACTCACAGAGGTTTTGGCTCATAAGTCCACATACCGCTTCAGAGTATGAAATTACATAAGAGAAAGAGGATACCATCCTAGGTTGGTGGCCTCTTCTTATTTTTCCCCCCTTGAATCTTGTGGCCACAAACATAGGGTTAAGTTGGTTCTGCAAGTAAAGGGCTGTTAAATGATCGGACACATGTTAAAGGCAAGGGAATGTCTGTGAACATACAACTGATTCGATGAGGTTATCAAACCAAGACCAGAAGAATATACATTGAAATACTTTTTAGTAGATATGGTAAACACTACATTAAATTAGACGATAAGTTTTTATTACAAACTTTGGCTTTTCAAAAAGCTATCAACAACTAAATTTTAATCACTCGTGACTGAAAAATGCAGCCAGACACAAAATTTCCAAAGTTTATGCCAAACTAGACACTTGATGTGGTAAATTATTTGATCTATAAATCAGCACCTTCACTTGCAACACTTCAGATAAACACTCTTTCTTTTAACCTTCATTCATAGGCACATGGTACCACCGTAACAAATTCTTTAAATTACAATTACACAATTGATTGTCTGGCTAACGAATACGAAGAGTTCATTTCAACAATTTATAGGGTCCTCATACAAGCAATCTACAGCCACACTACACAAACTACTTCCTGTAACCAACAGTACAACCACCTTAGACCACATTAAAACAACAAATACACTTCAGCAAGCATTGTTAAGAACAAGCCCCAAACATGTCACAACTGACATTCTAGAGTGGAAAAGTTGAGTACTAATGACTGAAGATTAGATACGAAAAAAATGAGCCCAGCAAATCAAATGCATGATTTAACAGTCTTGTAATAACATAAACCCTAAAGAAAACATTACTTCACTCCCAATTACCGCAGAGACTTCAACCAATCTGGTCAGTTCCCAGTGAAGAAAAATTGGCGATAATACTTTTATTAACAAAGAATAAAGAGTCATGAATAACATCAAATGACAAAGTATCCTTCAGAATATCACTTACAAAGTATGATCACTGGAAAAGGAATAAATTTAACAATGAAGGGCAGAATCTAGTTTAAGGTTGTAACATTCATTTGCATATGATTATTACACAAGAGTAGCATGTCTCATATACTCCTCATCTCTTGTTATGATAAAATCTGTGAGAAAGTAGTATACAGTTTTCAGAATTATTATTTTCATCTCTTTTTGTTAACAAACCCATGTCATTGAATGTAAATAAAAAAAAAAAAGTTTCCCCTTTTTCAGAGTTCAATGAATTGAATAACTTGTCAGTTAAAGAAATGAATCAGAAGTTTTTTGAAAGCCTTAATTCATTGTGCCAATGGCAGCGTACATGTAACAACAACATTGAGATTTATCAATAAAAATGTGTCCACAAAACTGCAGTTTCTTTAAATCTAAGGAAATACACAGTGATGCAAATGGGAATCAGAGTCAAACAGGTATCGAAGAGTATATGACAGGGACAGGCACCTCAATAGAATACAAACATTTTGGCAAATTATTAAAAAAAAATTGTGGCGTGAAATACTGACAACACTCCTCTTGCTATCACATGACAATACAACCAGTAATTCACTCCATAGCAGCACCATTAGCACACTGATTTCAAAGGGAAACATACAAACACTTCCAATAATGACAGAAGATAGTCCATGCTACCATTTAAAAAATCTCACATTAGAAGAAATAAACAAGAACAAAACAAATACAACAATGCAACATAACAATATAATTTGCTCCAAATCTAAGAACTGGGCTTATAACAATACTCAAACTACAAAGAAGTGCACTTAGAATCTTAGGTGGTGTAAGACAAAACAGTGGTGTTTCCTTTCTGTATCATAAGTATTTGTTCGTCACCAGCTTAAAGTTACATGGGATAAAACACCCTACTGAAGAAAAATATTATGACTAGCTATCATTATTTTGACCTTTCTTGTATTGCCACTCTTAAAGAAGAGTTACAACATCATATGGAAGTAAAAACTAACTAGCATTCTTTCAAAAAATGGCGAGCCATACACAACAAATAATTCCTTAAGTATGCACCTTGCATCACCATTGCAATATATTTACAAATAACACCATTGAGAGTTGATTCTGATGTAAGCAAAACCCATAACACTGAATCACAAACAGACATGAATGAAACATGTACAAAGAAAGCCAAATGCTAATTTAAAACAAATAATTCTTATTTTCTTCATGGCAGTTATTTACACTACCAAGTCAAAACAATCTTTTATTGTTAGTAAAACATCCTTGAGACCCACAACTGCAATAGCACTCAGCACAAAGGTAGCAAAATCAAATGTTTGTCCATGTACAAGTAATGATACTGCCTCATCTGGTGGCATGCAAATATCATGTCACCACTTTAAAGCAGCCTTCCACCCTTGACCCTCTCCCCCTCCCCTTCGTCATCAGAGCCCCTTCTTAAGTAGTGACGCAGTATTTGCACGCAGCCTCTCAGGGAAATTAAAAGAATAAAATTTGGCAAATAACCACAAATTAATACCAAGTTTTCCATAAAATGAAAACACACTCTTCCACAACAGAATACAGTGATTAAATACAGAGATCGACAATGGCAAAAATAAAAACCAGGAATAAACATGGCTTACAAAGGTGACTTTATAACTATCGTTCAAAGACAACATTAAAGAAATAAAGAAACTAATCTCACATTTAGAGTGGCAATTTAAAAGCAAATTACACCTTGTGATGTGCTGGACACATGATTTATTTTAAAAAATTAATTGGGATACTGGCTCAACACTAATGCAAAGAAGTTAATTGTAATGTAATAATTAAGTAACTAATGGTAAGTCCCTTTGCACTTTACAAGGGGATTATAAGCGTAAGATTCATTGAAACTTAATGCTCCAAAGTCAGTGCTTGTACTGATATTGCTCTCTAACAAGCACATTATGATTTATCATATCTTACTTTGAGCACCACAAGACTTAACACCAACAATTATACACAATCCATCCTACCAACAATCTTTGAACTCACTGTTTGTTTGAAGACATCCCATTGCTTTTAAAACAAATGGGATGCCAGGGATATCTTTCATCCACTCTGTTCTTGGCTTTCAACAACAGAAGAGCCAGATGCAGATGGGGGAGACTTAATACAATACTGTTGAAACCACACATCTGAATCCATTCATAATTATCAAGTGAATTGTGCATTGGTTGCATCAGACTTGGTAGCAAAGATAGGACTAGTAGTACAACACAGAATTAACATTAATAAAATAACTCCAATGAAGAAGAATCACAAACAATTCAGGATTTAACTTGCATCTGCAACTGGCATCAATCTGAAGAAAATTGATCTCCCGTTTGTGCCATCAAACTGCCACAGTTCAAAACACTTACATATCAATCATGAAAATAAAGAATAACATATCAGGTCACAATAAAGGTAAGATTCAAAATATAATGCATTAATATCACTTCTAAAAGATTATCCATTGCAATTCTCATTGCAATGAATTGCAAATGTTTTTTTCCTTAAAACCACAGTTAAACACATTAAATTACAAACATCGTTCAGGATGTACTACCAAACACGCATGAAAGTTCTTTAAGAGAAAGAAATCAGGTTTCAAGAAACACGTCCGACTACTGCATTCGGTACGTAGACTACAAGTAGGCCTTGTAATACTGATTATCCTAACTTCAAAGGTGAGTTTCCAACTCCTCAAAGCTCCCTGTGTCTGAAATTGAAAGAAAAAAGATTATTTTTCACATCCATTTTGCTTGTAGTTAGTATTTGGGGCTCAGAACAGAAAAAAATGTGAGTGGGTGACATGCCTGCTAGATCAACAGGGTCAGCTCAGTGACCTCTATGAAGACAAATCTCATCACTGTACATCATGGGGATCACTGGTTGATGCGATTTGCATCTCTCTTAGCTGCACTTCTCTTTTGATATTAGTTAAGCGTTCATCAAATTCACGTTGAAGTGCATCCTCCACCTAAAATGACATAAGCAAATATTGGTCAGTACTTGTAAAAGTTCAATTAATTAATTGGAGAAGTTTCTAAAGGACTTACTTTCTTCTTCTCTGCATCTAGAGATGTTCGTACAGATTGATATTTTTCTTCCAAGTCCTTCTTCTTGTGTTCATAGATTTCATCTAAACGAACTCTTTCGCTTACACCCCGTTCTACAGCATTACTAGCCAGTTCTCTTCTCATCTTGTCCATCTCTTCCCGATCTTTGTGCTTCTTAGCAAGCTCTTTCATTTCTTTCCTTCGAGTCGCTTCTAATCTACGCATCATTTCTGCAGTGTCCCGGTCTTGTAGGGCTTTAATTGTTTTCATTTGATTTGCCTGAGATGACTCGACAGTCTTTGTTATAGATGCAAACACCTAAAGGAAAAAACACAAGGCAGTTTCTGGGTTTATTTGAGCTCAGTGGTAGAAGATTATATCTTAAAAGCCAGACAACAAAGTCAAAACCTACCATCTCATGGTACTTTTTCTGCAATTCTCTTTCTTGTGAAAGTTGTTCTCGAATGACTGACATAAATCGGTCGTTTAAGGCAGACTGTGAACCTTCAGTTTCGGCATCTTCACCTTCATGCTGTGAAGACGCATCTGGCACACCAGAAGAGCTAAGAGAAAGAAAAAGGAAAAATTAGTATCTCTTCTGAATTTTTGTTCATAAAATGATTGTGAATGAATTGCAAATCTGACTTACATATTTTGTCGAGACAAGCGCTTCACAAGTTTGTTGCTCATATAAAACTTTGTTTTCGACTTCTCAGCTTCCTGAGAACCCCGCTGAATTTGAAGTCTACTTCTCTCCTGAAAATATGAGTATAGTTTAAATGTTTAAAAGGCACACTGGGACAAATGGGCAATCAGTTTTTGGTGGGGGAGGGGCAGAGGCAGAGAGAGGGTGAGGGAGTGGCAGAGGGCTAGGGGGGAGTGGAGAAGGGGGTAGGGAGAGAGTTAAAAACACAAACCTTTTCATGTTTTTTTCGCAATGTCTCCAACTTTTTGTCCATTTCCTGTCTCTTCTCCCGAACAGATTTGCTTTTCATGAGTTCTTCAAGAGTTTCAACAGTGAGCTCCTTTTTAGCTACAAGAGTATTGTCACTATTAATTAAAGGTTGTTTGAATAAAACTAAAACCGGGGCAAACATATTATAAAACTTTGCTAATACCTTGCTCTTGCAGATTTGAGATTTCCCCACTGGTGGAACGCACAACAGCTCCTGCTTTGTCGACAGAAGCAGCCTGTGCAGTGGGTGCAATAGAGTGTCGTTTCGTGATACTAGCAGCTGCACTGGCACCTGCGGCTGCCCCGGCTGCAGCGGAACTGGCTGCCACACCCGCCTGCCCAAGTAATCCAGCAAAGGATCCTGGACCTTTAGGGGGTTTAGGGGGTATCACCATCCCAGCTGGTTCATCCGCATCGGACATGGATCTATCACACAGAATTTTGCTGCCATCCCCATTCTGTAACAAAATCATTCTTTGATTAGAGCAGAACCAGAAAAGATCAGACCAAAGGACACAAGTCAGAAAATCTGAGGAAAGCAATCAATGTGAGAAACAAGGCATATACATACATGAGCACCATGTCGAGCTTTGGGAAGAGCAATTCCAAGCGAATCATTCTCCAAATCATCATTTTCAATTTCTTCTGTAAGCCCAGCAAGCATTGTGCTGTGTTTCTCCAACTTATTTTGGTACTCAGTTGGATTAGCAAGTGCCTCGGCAAACATGCTAAATTGGTCAGGAACAAAGTCATTCACTTTTATCATCAGGAAAAGTGTAGCTAGTATTGGCTGCCCCGCTTCATTTCGTAGAGTTACATGACGATATCCAGGACAGAGCCCAACCAGCGGCAAGATTCGGTGACCAATCAGTTTTCCCAATTTTCCAGATTCCTCATAAGCAGCAATACGAACAGAAGCAAGTTCTGGCAAGACTACCTGCAAAGACAAAAGAGGACTTGATTAAAGCAAGTCCTGGTCATGTTCATTGTTGACAAGATGGTGAACCATGGAAACACAACAATCCAAGATTTTTTTTTTTTTCCTTCCTCTAGTTTCAACTATGAACTGAAATACTTCCAAACAAGACAAGAAATTTTAAAACAACGAAACAAATAATGAAAAACTGATACAAAACTGGACCAGCCTCTGGAAACAATGAAGAGACATCCAAAAAGCACACTTCTAGCTGAATCAAAACTTCAAAAGCTCCAAATAACAAATGATTGTAGCATTGCTACTAATTTACCCAATGAGATCTTGCTGAGTATATTCCAATACATCAAATCCAATGACCTGCTTTTCAATGTAGGCAAAGTTTGCAAGAGGTGGCGTCGCTTGGCCCAAGAACCCAGACTGTGGCGTAATCGTAGCCTAGACGATGAGGACATGTTGGTCAACAGCCTTGATTTATTGGCTTTAGCACCACGTTTGAAAAGAGTTTCTTTGAGTACAGAATTTCATAGAGACAAAGTGTTCAAAGCATTACTTCATGGAGAAAAGAAATTACAAAGTTTGAAACTGAGTTTCCGAGAAGGGTCATTGTCAGTGGCTCAACTCAAAGAACTGCTTCCGGCCTTCTCACAACTGAAGCACTTGGATTTGCAGCTACCTTCAGCCTCACACGATGAAGCCTTATTCAGTGCTTTCCACCCTCTAACAGAATTGCAGAGTCTCAGATTGACTGGCTTTGTTTCTCCTGTTACTGAATTGCTGAGTTCAATAACAACCCACTGCACATCTCTGCACACCCTTATCCTAGTTGATTGTTTGATATTTTTTAGAGATGAACATCTTGTTGCTTTAGTATCAGATGGAAGACCATGGAAATCTCTAAAACTGATGACATACTTCATCTCAGAAGCAGCCTATAATTATTTTGCATGCCTCAAGAACCTTGAACAACTTGCTCTGATAAAGTGCAAATCACTGACAGAGCAAAATTTATTGCAAATTGCAACACTGCCACTTCTCACTAATCTGACGGTAACTGAAAATTGCATACTGAGTTCCACTGCAATAAGCACTTGCCTACAAGTCCAACCCATGGCGTGCCTACTTGATATTGACTTCACAGTTTACAGGTAAGCAAATATCTTGCCTACATAATTGTTTTGAAAAAGCTGAAAATTTTCTGAAACTTATGCTTTTTTTTTTTTTTTTAGGGCTGATGATGATGTTGCCCTAGCCATAGCCACAACATGTACACAGCTTGTTCGTCTAAGACTTGCTATGTGTCTGGTTACTGATGAAGGACTGCGGGGCATAATTCTTAATGCCTCTAAACTTCAAGATCTTGATTTGGAATGTAATATAATACGCGGCCAGTGCCTCTACCTAATACCTAACCACCTACCAAATCTTGTTAGACTGAACCTGCACCTATGTTACAATGTGTTAGTCAATCTGAATGAGATTGTAGCTCGTTTGACAAGATTAAAAATAATTGATCCATCAGGTATTGTCATAGAAGGAAGAGCAGTAAAACGTGTTCACCCTCACATCTCATAATAAAAGAATCCCATGATCTTGATGCAATTGTTACTTACAATATTACAATCAAACGGTACATCCTTTTCATCATCCCTCACATAAACTGGATTAATTCCATTGTTAGGTACAACTCTTGTTCGAAACTTCTTCCGTAATGAATCTGCTGGTAAACCATACAGAGTAATTTCAACATATGTATTGATTCGTTTGTCAGAGAGGAATTGGCCTGACAAGACATGAACTTTCAGCTGCAAAAGATAGCATAAAATATTAATTAGTGGAGAGGCATGAGATAAAGAGAAATGTTAATATTTTTCCAAACATAAAAATTACTTACAGTTCCTGCAACAATGCCATCCACACGAGAGTCAGAGAATATGTCCAATTGCCGATCTTCTCTACGCATGAATTCGGGTTTCAATATATATCCACACCTTTGATTATTTTCAAAAACTCCAATATTATACTGCATTCCTAAATCTACGTTTTTTTGTTGTTTTTTTAAAGAGAAGGAAAATAATATTACTTATAATTCCTCAATCAAAAGGTACCAGATATAGGAGAGTGAAATAAAAATAATCCACACACCAAGAGTTTGATAGTTCAATGCAACCAGTTGACATCCTGCATTCCAAAATAGCTGAGGCATGAAGTTTGAAGAGTCAAATCGTATTCCTGCAGGGTATACTCGACTCAGCTGCCGCTTGTTGTAATTCACAAACTCAGTTGGGTACTCTCTTAAAAGGCTTAGAGCTTGTTTCTCATCAAAAGATGACATTTCATAAAACCTTTTCTTCTCTAAAAACAAACGGCAAAATATTAACAGACATCCAAAACAAGTTCCAGAGAAAGAAATTAAAAAAAGAATCTGTCTTTGTCTAAAGAGACAGAACTTGTCCTCATACATGATTTAATAAAGGTTGTTTCTGTTCCATTATATTTTTTGCAATCGTCTTCATGTTCATTTATAGCAGATTTTATACAGGTTTCCCTACACTAATTATTATAGTTATATTGTCAGACAACAAACCTAATGCCTTCTCAAAGGAGACGAAGTGCACTGGCTGAACATAATTCACGAGAGCAGAGATTTCTTCGCCTGCCTCAGTTTCCTTGGTTTTGGAAGCTTTCTCCTTATCAGGTTTGTCAGCTTCAGCATCGTCATCGCTGCTACTGTCATCTGAAAACACCAAAGAATCATATAAGTACTTGAATTGAAGAGGGGTGAGAGCAAATGGAAACATTTTACGAACCATCATCATCCCCACTTGCTTGTCTCCTTCGAACAGCAGCTCTGGCCTGAACTATGTCACCATTACTCGCTTTGGAGGGTTTAGGTGATGTAACACTCTCCATATTATCAGGAGCTCGTGCTGCATCTGAGGAAGTGTCTTCAACCACAGGAAAGTCATCAGCTTCTTTCTTATCAGCTACATCTTTTTCACCATCAGTTTCTGCGTTATCTTCTTCTTGAGGTTTCTGCTCTACACTTGAACCTTCAGAAGGGACATCGTCTCTTTCACAACTTTCTGATTCTGAGGCCCTACTGACAGCAGCTGATTCTGTCGCATTAGTTGGAGTTCCTTCAGCTTGAGAAGCCTCTGATGGTGTAACAACAGACTCCGCTGGTGCTCCTAGACCCTTATCAGCGCCTGGAGCAGTTTCAGCTACTGGACTTGTTTCAGCATCTGATGATCCGGAGGAGGTTTCTCCTTTCTTTTTCTTTTTGTTTTTGATTATTATCTTTCTCTTTAGGAGGCTTGGTGGAGGAAGGGAATCACCTTTCAAGCCATGAGAATCCAGAGGAGCATCTAAGAGCATGTCTCCAAAGATCTCTCTACAATACTCAGCAATTTTTGTTTGCTGTTTTCTATTACAGTGGTTTTCAAAAGAGAGAATCACAGGGTATTCTGATGTCTTGAAGGCGCACTCAGCTATAGCTTCAATTACCTCCTGTGGACAACAAATATTAAGGAAAATTTAAACTGATTCATTTGATTGAATCTACAAGCCAGGTAGTCAAATGATGAGATGGTATTTACCCTAGCTGACACTTCAGGTACGAATGTGTAGCCATGAACAATACAAGGCTCGTCTTTAGGACCATTCCAAAAATCAAGTTCAACACACCGACAACCAGCAAGTAGACACTGACGGTAAATTTCAACAGACGACTTTCCAGTAATTTGATGACCTGAGAAAACAAACAGATAGATAGTCACCATTTAAAGAGCAGACGTATGCTGGCATTTAGCTTACTTGAAATTCATACCAGTCAAGTAAGTGTTGTGGCTTGAATTAATAAAGTAGTGGGCAAGTGGGTGTTCCATAGACTCTGGATTGCTTATTTCTAACTTAGAAGCAGCAATTATGGGATTATCATCACCCATGAGATACCTTAAAAATGCATCAAAGCTCAACAAATGCCTGTTGACATATTCTTTCTTTTTTTCATACTGCTCAATGAAGGCCTGCACATTGTGAGTTTTAGCATATGGATGAAGAATTTCATTTAAACGAGGATCACGCTGAGTTCCATTTAGAAACTGCATAAATTCATTAACTCCAATCATCTTTGTGGATGAATTACACCTGAAAAAGACAAGAGTAGAATGATACTCAACAGAATTATTAGTTTAGCTTTCATTAAAAGGTTGGAAAAATACTTACAGGCTATCATAAATTTTTTGAACTTCCGTCCGCTGCATAAGGTTTTTGTAAATGGGATAGAAATGCTCCTCAAATGTGAATTGAGAAGGATTCAAGACAGACGTCTAGGATGAGAAAAAGAAATAACATTTTAGTTCACAAAATCAATAAATGGTTGAAAATAACAAACAAATGCTTTGAGAATACTCCTGCAAGATGGGTGGGAAAATAATTGTTCAATCAGGTCTTATTATGTTTGGTATGTGGTGAGGTATGCCTAAAATTATGATTCAGCTACTTTAAGGGAGAATAATATTTAGGTGTGTATATAGACAAACAACTTCAACTTTCTTTCTTTTATTTTAACAATCATCAAAAGGATGAGGTTTGAGGTTTGGGTGCCTGTGAGGTTGTCAAACCCACATGAAGCTAGTTGTAAGTGCATTATAGGTGCTTTCAAGGATGCAAAACCCTGTGCTGTTTTCTTACATTGATCAAGAATTAATTTACATAATCGTCTACTCTACATGCACTATACTTGCGCAGTTGATCTTTGTCTTCCTCTAGTGGTGCTCTATTTAAATAAGTTTTCCTTAAACAATTTTTTTAAAAATATAATAATATTACAAATTGTTTTTTTATACTCTTAAGCCTGTTTTTTTCTTTTGTTAAATAAACTTACAGCAAATGTTAGTTAGCAACAGTATGATTGAATTATAATATAAGATTCTAGAAAGTATCATGCAGCAGCAAATTTCCACCTCTATACAACAGCACCTTATTTGCATCCTCAGTGCAGCTTGTCAAATGAAAAACGCATGTTGAGATTTCATCTCCAAATCTTAGTGCACTAGTGATCAAAAGACTTTTATTTAGCTTTGATTAAGCACAAATTAACACATGTGATAGGGTTTTAGTGCAAACTGACTAGACATCATGTTTTCTAAAATTCAGACCCAACCTCGCCAGTGTACACACCATGTAAATACCATGTGCGTCCTTTACTCTGATTTTCGCTTAGCTGCCCAAGTCTGGAAAAGATTTGTTATCAAACTGGTTTAGATGTCTTTATAAACTAAATAAACTTTTCATTTTAGATAATTTAGGATATGTGTAATAGGCAGGATTAAATTAGTTTTTAAGTGGGACTCCAAAGGGTTAACAATGGACCACCTGTAATTTGATTGTTTCTTGGTACAAAACTGTTGATGAAGTATATATCTAAGAACTCTCGAGAAGAAAAGAGGAATGAAAGAAAAACTTAAATAAAGCTTAGTGGCAGATTTAAGAAATGTAGGATTATCAAATCTCCAATGAAAGTAGCATGAAACAATTGTCTTACCTTATCCTTTGTAACACTAGGACCATACACTGACTGTAGAGCCTCCTCTACACGCTTTTTGTCTTCCTTATTAGATGCAAAAAATTTTATTATGCTGCAAAGAACAAGCCTGATGTTATGTCTGCTTGAAATGGATTAAACAGTCAAAGAAATGCAAAGTTACCTTTTGACAGGAATGTTTCCTGCCTTGTCTACTTGCAGACACAGTCTAGTATGAACCTTCATAAGGAATCTCATGGTTGAACTATTCAGGAGGGACAAGCTGAATATAAGCTTGGTAATCTCATCTGTCCATAACTGTATAAAATATGCAATATTAGGAAAATAACTGAAATATGAAATTACCTAGTTGTAACAGATTTTTACCTGAGCACTTTCTTTCTTGGAAGTGTAAAAATTGATAAATGTAAGATTGACAAAATCACTTCCATGACAAATTGTCACTGTGCAGTCCTCCAGACATATAGATAACATCTTATCATCTATTTTGTCCTCTTCAGAATCACCTTTGCCGGCAAGTTTCATATCGCTTGGCCCCACGATACTTTTGTCCTTTGAATCTGGCGTGTCGGCTTTACTGCTTTCCACTTTCATGCCGCTTTCCACTTTACCCCGAATTTTATGATCCTTCACATAAATTTAATATGTTAATTTAATGTGCACCAAAAACGTACAAGAATGTACAACAAAAATAATGTAAAGCAAAAAATAATGAACCTGTCCCAGCATTACCTTGGGAATCTTGGCATATTTGCCTGTCCTAGCATCTCTGATTGATGTCAAATCCAGTACTTCCAAAACCTCCTGGAAACATTACATTTGTTACATGAAAAGTCTAAAATTAAGCACCAGACATCTAGAGGAAAACTCAGCTCATTCTTTACCTTGGTGGTTTGATCAGTCCAGTAAAGGAAGAAGCCATTTTCATCGATGTGCAAAATAACGGGAGTTCCAACTCCACTACTCTGTTTTGCAAAAAGAAGAAACAAAAATAAAATACAAATACAGGATATAAACTGCACGCAAAACCATTTTCCTTTACTGGGGTGAAACAGTTCGCTACTGAGGAGACATTTGTTGGACTTTATAGGATTCATACCCACATCACATTGGTTTCGGAAAAAAAATTTAATAGGATTATGTGTGTGATCCTGGACACCTCAAATTCTGGACCAACTCTTGATAAGATAGCACTGCACACATGGCAGTGTCACTTCCTAACATTTGGCTCCACTTTTGCAGTAGAACTTGCTAGTGCCTAGAACTGCCGTGTGCTGGAGCTGTCCCTTGGACTAAAGCCCTCGACTCGATTCGCCCCAACCTCCAACTTGTGGCTCGGGACCCTTGGAGGTCTTGGAGGCAGGCATCTGCCATAAGCGGCCGCCCTGGCTAGCCCTGGCTAGCCCTGCCTGGCCCTGCCGCGCCGCCAGGGAAGACGGACGCTGTCGAGGCCCCGGACAAGCAGGCAGCAGCGCGCACGACGCACACGCGGGAAAAACGGAGGGAACATCTTCTTTTTGGCGGGCAAAAAACGGGACGGGCCGAGCAGGCCGAACGTAACCTTACCTCATCCCACTTGATGAACTCCTCGCCCTCTTGCAGCCTCTTCGGCACCTCGGCAGTCTTGATCTGCTGGACCGTGGGCTGTCCAAAAGTCGTCCTGGGCGGCGCCAGCGACGGTCCTGGTGTCGACGAGGACGACGAGGCCGCCATGGCGGCACGCCCGTGGCCAGGAGCCTGACGGGACGGCGCGGGGCAAGCCGCGGGCAGTACGGGCAGGAGTAACTACAAAGACCAGGCGAGCCAGGCCAGGCTGCCAGGCCCCCGTCGGCCGTCGACGTCCCCCACAGGGCACCACAGGGCACCACAGGGCGGGGGGGTGGGGGGCGTGGGGGGGCTCCCTCCCAAGCCTGGGCCAGGCCTGGGCCCTGGCAGTCCCTGGTGGCGGCGGCGCACAAGCGGCGCTACGCGCTACGGCGCCTCACTTGCACGTCAATGACGAGCCTGAACAGCCTGAAGCTGACGTGCTGGGCCGAGCCGCGGGACGTGCCCGCGTCCCGGACGACCCGGACGCGAGGGCCTGGAGCTGTGGCGCGGGGGCGGACGGGCCGAGGCCCTCGAGGCAAGACGGGCTGGCCGCGCTAGCCCTGACCCAGGCACGGGGCCCTAGCCCTGCCAGCAGTAGGCGCCTCGGCCTCTCGTGTTCGATTCCATGGCCTCGTCCCACTCGTCCCCGCTGGCCCCGCGGGGAAGGGGGACTAGAACGCATCGTTGGTCTGGACACCTCAGGCGGTCTGTGTCGGCATAACACTCGGACCGATCAACGCGCGCGCCGTCACCAAAACGCGTAGACAGAATCACGACCTTTCGCGAGGAGCCAGCGCAGTGATTTTTTCTCCCAAAACATCTGTGGCATTTCTTCCCTTTTCCACCAATCAGAGGCACTCACTGCTCTGGTCAAGGGGGCGCTCGCGGCAGTCGCGCCTACTGAGGTCGCGCGGGGGAAGGGGCAAGGAGCCCGACTGGCCTGCCGGGGACCGCTTCCAAAAGGCTGCCAGAGAATTGTCCTCGGGTTTCAGTGCCAAGACGTACGCGCACGACGGGTACGTGACAGGACTGAGCAACCATCCACTGACCTGAGTTGTCTGGGGCGTATGCCAGGCTAGGCAGCGCGAATGTGCGCGCACCGTATTCATATCGAGTTGGGGGAGGGAGATCCTGCGCGGCGGTCCTCCTGGAGAGGCTAGCCCCGTTGCCATGGCAACGGGGGAACGCCAATCCGGGGTAGCGGCGGTCGCGGCACCACCGCAGACTGCCCAAGACTGCCGCAGACTCCCAAGGCCCGCTGCTCCGCTGCTCCAGTTCACTCCAGGCCTCCAGTTTGTTTACACCAACTCCATCCTGGAACCTAGACGCTTGGCGCTTTGCTCTTCAATCCTCTACTACCCCACAGCGATGAATGTGAGAAGTTTTAGAGAAAACTACTGAACTGAAACATCAACACACTTTATTATAAAATTCAGATAGTAAAACAAGAAATAGGTCCTCCTGACAGAAAAACGCAAAAAAATAAAACCCATAACAGATTAAGTAACAATGATTAAAACAAAACTTTCACACATAACAGGTAACAAATTTTTAAAAGTGAAGTGTCAGTCTTGTTTTCTGGGCCCAGGTATGTAATGTACACATCACTTAATACAAAGCTGAAAAATGACTCAAAAATAAAAATTACAAATTTACAAACATTCCCTACTCAAAAATAAACAAGGGGAGAAAAATAGTTTAAGATGTAAATTGAATTGAACTTTTCATTAGGTGCTCTATATCATTATCCTAAAACATCTTCAACAAAACAAGATAACAATATAAGATATTTACTTAACTTAATTCTACACAAAACAAATGAACTTACCCTAAACCTCAATATTTCAAATCAGATTCGCAGTCTAAAGTACTGGAATGAATTTGGTACAAGACAAAGGTCCTACCTCTTAAAACTGACTCAGCTTACATGCGGAACAAACCAAATTTAGTGTCCCCAATGGGGGCATTGAGAGCTGCTCTCAAACTAAGGCCTAGCACTTGGCGAGTATCTCGAGGATCTATGACACCGTCATCCCAAAGCCTGCACAAAAGGAGGAAACAGCTCAGTGAAATTAATCGTTTACATGTGCTCACCTCAAGATTCACTGAAGATAAGATTAAGCACCTGGCACTTGAGTAATAGGGACTTCCTTCTCTGTCAAATGACTGGATTATCGGGTCTTTTAGCTTCTTTTCCTGCTCTTGTGTCCACTAGGAAAGAATAGGGAACGAAGGAGGTAATTTGAGTATGCAGTGCAGGCCTCCAAAAATTAAGGCTCACTAATAATTTTCAAATTGAGAGACTCACAGGTTTTCCAGCTTTTTCATGTTGGGCTCGTGTAATATCAGCAAGAACACCAGCTGCCTGTTCTCCACCCATTACAGATATGCGTGCATTGGGCCACATATACATAAACCTTGGACTGCACAAAAGATAAGAGAACATGTTTCAGCAAATTGCTTGAAACAAGATCCAAAAAAACAGAGGAGAGTTGCATTTACCTGTAGGCACGTCCACACATTCCATAGTTGCCTGCACCATGGGAACCACCAATGACTAGAGTAAACTTTGGAACTTGGGCACAAGCTACTGCTGTTACCATTTTTGCACCATGCTTAGCTATTCCACCAGCTTCGGCTTCACGTCCAACAATAAATCCTGAAAAAAGAAAAACAAAAGTTATTTTTCAACAGTAATTTTTTTAATGGGGCACAAAAACTTTAAGGGATTCCTGCCTTACCTGTGATATTTTGTAAAAAGATCAGGGGGATTTTGCGTTGGCAACAAAGCTCTATAAAATGTGTTCCCTGAAAGTTATCACGTTATGCATTAAATGTGAATAGCTGATAGTAGAAGGTGTGTACTGTAGCAGATCATTACTTACCTTTATAGCTGCTTCAGGAAACAGAACACCGTTGTTTCCTACAATACCAACAACATTACCATACAGACGGGCAAATCCTGTAATCAATGTATCTCCATACTTTGCCTTGAACTCATCAAATTCAGAACCGTCAACTATGCGGGCAATGACCTACAAAAGATTAATTTTGACATCTAAAAAATAAGAAAATAAGAGATAAAGGGAACCAAATGCTGTGATTTACAACAGACCTCTCTGACATCAAAGCTTTTTTTACGATTGGTACCGACAATGCCATACAATTCATCAGCAGAAAACTTTGGCGGAGCAAATGTAGCTGAAGTTGTTTGAGGGATATGAGGCCTGTTCAGATTTCTAACGATTCGTCTTGTTATGTGCAAAGCATGTTCATCATCTAGGGCATAGTGATCAGTCACTCCAGAAACACTGCAAGAAAAAGGAATAAGGAATTATTATTTCATACAATTGAGACAAGATAACATAAAAAATGAAAATAAAGTTGTAGAGAAAGAGGAGGAATGTACCTGCAGTGAAGATCAGCTCCTCCGAGTTCCTCAGCAGAAACTATCTCTCCCGTTGAGGCCTTCACAAGTGGTGGTCCTGCAAGGAATATAGTACCTTGCCTTCTCACAATCACAGTTTCTTCAGCCATTGATGGAACATATGCACCACCCGCAGTGCAGCTTCCCATAACAACTGCTATCTAAAAAAAAGTAAAATAAAAAAATTCTATCTCTCTTAGAAAAAATGTGATCACTATAACTGAGCCAAACCTGAGCTACGCCTTTTGCAGATAAGTTGGCCATGTTGTAAAATATTCTTCCAAAGTGGTCCCTGTCTGGAAAGACAGTTGCTTGATGGGGGAGATTTGCACCAGCAGAGTCAACTAGGTACACGCAGGGCAAGTTGTTCTGTTCCGCAATCTCCTGTGCTCTCAAATGCTTCTTCACGGTCATAGGGTAGTAGGAACCAGCCTTAACAGTGGCGTCATTAGCTACAATCATGCATTCAGTGCTGGAATGAAAACATCAATCAGCAAGGCAAGCTATTTGCAAAATGAAATTACCCAACATAAAAAGACGTCAATTACTTGGCAATTTGACCAATGCCTGTGATAATTCCTGCAGCTGGGATGTAAGCATCTCCATACATGTTGTGTGCCGCTAGTTGTGATAGCTCCAGGAAGGGAGAGCCAGGGTCCGTAAGTCGATTAATCCGTTCCCTAGCAGTAAGCTTTCCTTGGGAAACATGTCTCTGCACAGCTTTTTCACCCCCTCCTTGAACTATTTTGCCAACTACAGTCTGTAGCTCATCAACAAGAGCTTTCATGCCACGGTAGTTTTCCTTCAGGATTGATTAAAACAAGACGGTTTTCATTAAGAGAAAAACATCAGATATGTAATAATTTCTGGTCAATAAAGTTTGCTTTGAACAGTGAAACTTATGGCAAATAACACAAGTACCATAACCTATTATAAGCATGTGGACGAACCTGGTACTCGTCGCTCGTGTGGTCGGGCTCTGTGCCAATGACATTCGAATTTAGTGAGTGGAAGCATCTTTTCAAGGTGTTGCTTTTGCAAAACACCTTCTGGAACCTGAGCGAGAGCATCCTTTAGGGCACAGAAACCGCTGACATGCAACTGGTGTGTTTACCGAACACCAGCTCGCAGGAGAAGGGGGGGGGGGGGCAGGCAGAGGCGTACCGGCAAGGAGGGGAGGGGGGCAGGGACAAGAACTTCTTATCTCATCCATGAGCTCACGAGGACTATCTGATCGAAGGTCACCAAGGAGAGGCTAATTTCTTCACATGTGTTTTCGGTCGCATCGATGACCACACACAGTGGAAGCGATTGTCGGCATTAAACTCCCTTAGTGACACTGCCAACTCGGGATTTGTGAACAGAAGTTCGCAACTTTGCCGCAAAAACGCTGAGTTGTTTTCCTGGCGCTTGGGGTATAGACGCACGGGTGCATGAAGTGGCGATGCCCCCTGCTCACAGAGACACTAGACGGGGCACGAGGAGAGGAGAGGAGGGGGATAAGAGAGGGGGGCATCCATGAGGGGGCGCCAAGGGGCGGGGGAAGTGGGGGATCTTATGGTCCATTGCTAGTACTCTGGTGCCTTTGACGAGAAGGGGGGGGGAGGATTCCAGCAGACCGATTGCACTCTGTGCTTAGTTGCTCTGTCTCACTCGAACCGTCATGTGGATGCAGCACTTATAGCGTGTGCTTATCCACCTTTGAGTCGCAATTCACCAACATCAAAAACAATTTTTGCAGTTGTGCGCGTTATAAAGCAGAAGAAAATTGAGAAAATTACAATGAACCAGACAATAATGAAGGGCGCTGCACAATGGGCCAGAAGACCTGTGGAGGCGGAAAAAATTCTAGGCGCGTTTTGAGCTCCAGAGTGGGACTCGAACCAAGCGTGTGACCCCACCAATGGATTGCTCTCCGAACGAGGAATCCATTGGTGGGGTCACACGTTCGGTTCGAGTCCCATTTAGCGACTCTGAAGCTCAAAACACGTCTCGAGTTTTGGCCGCCTCCGCCGGTCTTCTGGCCCACTGTGGACTGGCCGCAGGCTCCGCCCGCAGGCCACATCACATGGTTCCCTGGGGAGTGGCGATGTCGCGTAATGTTTGGTCTGGATGGCAGCGGGGCGGCGAGCGGTACTGCTAAGCACTGGAATATGGTTCTCGAAACGGATTTCGAAGAGTCGCTTTGTCGCTCTGTCTCTGTCGCACTCATGGGGCGTCCCTTAAACTGTGCGAGAGAGACAGAGCGACGAAACGACTTCGCTCCTCTCCGCCCACCCACTGCGAGGACGTCGAGGACGCCGAGGACACGCGCACCGGAACCAAAGTGGGTCAGCCAGCGCGGCTGGAGCCGCTGGAGCGCGGAGCCCTACCCTACCCTACCCCATCCAGCGTGCCGCAGTCTGCTACAGTGTGGGAGTCTGGCGCAGGGGCGGCTGGACCAGCTGTACCGCCGCAGCCACGACAACACACCACACGAACATGCCAGTGGCAGTTTTAAAGGGGCGGGGGATGACCTCCCCTTTTCCACATCTCCAACACGCCTGACAATAAGCCATCTGCAACATGTTCACTCCCAGGAAGGCAGGCAAGTTCCATGACCTCCCCTTTTCCACATCTCCAACACGCCTGACAATAAGCCATCTGCAACATGTTCACTCCCAGGAAGGCAGGCAAGTTCCAGGCAATCACCCCCTTCCCCTACCCCGCTCTGCCCCAGCCAGATGTACGTGCAATGAGAGAGGAGAGGCGGTAAAAGGCTGTGGCCAAACTGTGGTGGGTGTGGTGCCAGGAGCTCACCATGAGTGATCGCCCCTGGTTGCCCTTTTCGAGGCCGATCTCACTGCTATCGGGACAGGGGAAAAAGGGCACCCCACCCGCAAAGGGCCACTTCAAAAGCTTACTTCAAGCCAGTTGAACCAAACCCCAGGAATGACCCTGATTGCAAAGTCTCTTGGTTTTGCTGGGCCTGAAGACCGATGGAGGCGGCCAAAACTATAGACGCGTTTTGAGTTACAGGGTCGCTAAACAGGACTCGAACCGAAAGTGTGACCCCACCAATGAATTCCTCATCCCGAGAGCAATCCATTGGTGGAGTCACACGTCCGGTTCGAGTCCCACTTAGCGACTCTAGAGCTCAAAACACGTCCGGGATTTTGACCGCCGCCGGCGAGGGGGAAATCACCCTTAAAAACTGTGACCCGACTACTCCCTATTACGTTCTATTACGCTATTACAGAAGGCTTATTACGCTCGAAAATATCCAGATTTAGGCTAAAATTGGACCCCGAAAAGGGAAAATTTTAAAAAAATTGGCTATTACGCTATTACTATTACGCGTAATACTTAGAATTGGTGACCCGACTATTACGCGAGTGATTTCCCCCTCGGCCCCCGGCCCACTGGGCGAAGTCGTTCGCGATCCCCTGAACCCCCTGGACAGTTTCATCATCGTTCGCACAAAATAAAACCGGCAAAGTGTCGTCACAAAATAACGACCCCTCGGCACCCTCGTGCCGTGCGTGTCCCTGACAGATGAACGATGGAGTCTCGGAGTGTCGACTCTAGCGGGGAGAGTGGCAGTGCCGGCACCATGTCGTTGCCTGGCAACGCGCAACGCCCGCGGACTGAGCTCTGCTTTCGTCGCTCTGTCTCTCTCGCACTTATGGAGCGTCCTGCAAGGGTGCAAGAGAGACAGAGCGACAAAAGCAGTGCTCCAAATCAGTCTGCTGGCAAGAAGCACGCCTCGGAGCATGGCGAGGCAGGCAAGGCAAGGGGCGTGGTGGGATCGGTGGGATTCGAACCCGCGTCCGCCGTGCGGCGTGTGGCTTCCCTGGAAGAAAAGATCCCCCCTTTCCTCGGCACGCCTTGCCGCTCACGTGACCTCGCGCCCCAACTTATTCATGGCATCCAGGCGAGAGCGAGAGAGAAAGGGAGAGAGAGAGAAAGAGAGAGGGTGAGTGTGAGAGAGAGCGAGTGCCTCGCCAAGACGGACGGCGCCCTTACCGCGCAACGTTATTTGCACGATAAAGTGGGTGAGGGCCGGTCGAAGGGCCGGTCGAAGGGCCGGTCGAAGGGCCGGTCGAAGGGCCGGTCGAAGGGCCGGCCCAGTCACATGGACGGCCGAAGGGCTAGCCCACTGCTCATTTATTTTGCTAAAACGCTGCTGGAACTTTGTGGAAGGTATGGGTCGTCGACACGGCAGTGGCGGCTAATCTTGGCATAGGCTACAACAAAGACCCAAGACCCTCTGGACACTCAACAAACCTCCATGTATTCGTACAGCCTAAATCAACACGTATTTGTGCAGAGCGCACATGTAAGGAACAGGGACCAGGGACATAGGTGGAAGACTGCAACTTGATGCCCGGCCGGGGGACAATGAGACGAGGCTGGAAACACGCAGAGGGCAGAGGGTTGCTGCCTCGCAGGCCGATTGAGGAAACGCCGGGCCGGGGAGGGGGAGAGGGGATGGGGTAACGACCAGCTCACCCTGATTACCCCCACCCTCCCCTGGCCCATATTACGCAGCTCGAACCCAAAACATTTCTGTCAATCGACGAATATTGTGTGCAGTGCGCTTTGTATACAGCAAGCTGCACACGGGTCTCCGTCCGTGTGTGCCTACATTTACACACTACACGGTAAAACCGTCTCCTAGGAATGAACCGATTCTCCTGGGAATCCCATGGAGATGGATTTACCCTGTAACTGAGCGTGTCTCTTTTCTCTCCTCCTCTCTAGGGACCCTCTCTGTGGTCCCTACTCCTCTCCGGTCAGAGCAGGTCAGAGCTGGAGCCCCTGCGGAGTCGAGGGTAGGCCACGTGCCGCGCTGGCGTGCTGCCGGGCAGGGCTGGGCTGCCTACCCACGACTTCGCGGGCGCTGCCGCGGTCCCGGAACGGAACAGAACGGGGCCTGCCGACTGATTCCGAGAGTCGACCTCATCGCTCTGTCTCTATCACACCCGTACGGCACGCCCCCTGAGTGCGAGGAAGACAGAGCGACGAAAACGACTCTCGGTGCTGGCTGGGGGCAGGGGCGCGCCCTGGAGGTCGGGTCACAGACTCGTGCCTCCGCATCCCCTCCATCAGACTGATTCCGAGGGTTCGTCGCTCTGTCTCTCTCGCACGCGCGGGGCGTTCTGTTGCGGGCCCCCGCGACTCAAGATGTTTCGGTGCCTTGAGTTACCGAAACACACCACCGAAACAGTTCCGTCAGGGCGCGGGGGAGCGACGGTAAATGACACCCGGAATCGCAGCTCCAGCGGACTGAATCCGACAGTCGTTTCCGTCTGTCTGTCTCTCTTGCACCTATGCGAGACGCCCATAAGTGCGAGAGAGACAGAGGGACGAAAACGACTCTCGGAATCTTTCTCGGCACAGTGCATCCGCGCACCGCGTCCTCCCCTCCCAGCTCCGGGATGCCTTCTCGTTGAAGACCGTCGCGATCCTCGTCGACGTGGCACCCGTGGCACCCGCTGCCCACCTCTCCCTCGGACGCCCCTCGGTCGGTACGCGTGCACCGGCGCGGCCTAGCGCGGCCTAGCCAGGACGAGGGCGCGAGGGCGCGAGGGCGGCCAGGGCCTGGCCCCTCCCGCCCGGCTCCCGCTCTCCTCCCTCTCTCTCACTCCGCCTTGGCGGCTTGGCGGCGCAGCGCAGCAGCCCTGGTCGATAAAAGTGTACCCAGCGGGGCCCAGCGCGGCGAGCACTGCGGGGCTGGCAGCCTGCGCTGCCAGTGTGCTAGCACCGCACCCTCGGACCCCACGCCAGCGACCCACCCCGGCCTGCCCCGGCCGCCACCCCAGTGGGGCCCAGTCGGCCCAGTCCACAGTCCCCGCCAACAGCTGACGGCGTTCGTGCGGAGTGCGCGGTGCGCGCGGTGTCGAGGCTGGTCAGGTGTGGCGGCGCACCGCGGCTTACAGTGCCCTGCCTAGCGACGTGACGATGACGCCGTCGTCCGGGTCAACGCCGGCCTGCCCAAGGACGGCGCCGCGGACCCCCCGAGGGGCCCCCGTCGTCGCCGTCGTCGCGGCCCCCGCGGCCAGCCAGGGCAGCCAGGCCAGCGCCGCCGACTGCCAACAGTGAGCCGCGGAGGCTGCGACGGGCAGACGGGCGGTGGTGTCGACACCGGGACACCGAGACACCGAGGCGCCCAGCGAGAGACGTAAGTCTGCCGGGGCGTGCCCCGCCGCCAAGGCACCAAGGCGCCAAGGCGCGCCGAGGCCTACCGCACCGGAGAGCGGCAGAAGCAGGCAGAAGCAGGCAGAAGGTCGAGGCCGTGCTGCCTCACGCTGCACTGTGCTGCGGGGCTGTAGGGCCGAAGCGCGCCGCCAAATCATCAACAAACTTTTAGAGCCTGCCCGACAGCAGTGCCGCTGCTTGCTTCCACCTGGGCACCAGTAGAAAAAAAGAAGAGGAAAAAGAGTACGAACCCTGTCTGGTCCATTACGTAACTTGCTGACTTAAACCTGCTACAAACACTCATTGCGTTTAAATAAGAGTTAATTTAGTTTTTAACCAAAGACGGTTGGGAAACTGTGGCATGACGTTGTGATCGTCACATATTTTGACAGCGTCACCAGGCATCACGTTACTTTCTTAACCAGTATGTTTCTTATCAAGAAACTAATCTCACTCGAGCCTTGTTCAAGTGACCTTTCTGGAATAATGTTTCGATCACGTTTCCTGTGTAAGTGAAACAATAATGTTTGATTTGCGGTATGGGAAGGGGAAGGGGGGGGGGGCAGACTCCCATGCAGCACGCTCTCGCCTTGCTCTCGCCGGCGGCAGCTGGTTACGGTATAAATAAGCAAAACGCCAATTCGGTCTCGAGCCGAAGTGAAGGAACGGCGGCCTCGGGGAAGTAGCTCTGTCTCCGTCCCACTCGCAGAGCGTACCGAAGGGTCGCGAGAGAGACAGAGCGACGAACCGGGGCTTCGGAATCGGGCGGCTGGGGGGATTTGAACCTGCGTCACGGCAGCACGGCGTGAGGGTGGGACACGCCTCACTGTGCGAGGGTGGCTCCGTCCGGTGGGAGGGGGAGGGGCATGCCCTGCGGGGTCAGGTAAATGCAGCTGTTGAAAAATAAATCCACCCTGTAGACTGATTCCGAGAGTCGTTTCCGTCGCTCTGTCTCTCTCGCACTCACGGGGCGCCCCCTACTGGAGCGAGAGAGACGAAAACGACTCTCGGAATCAGTCTACAGTGTCGAGCCGCCGTGCCCACCAGCGCGTTATCGACTGTTGCAGGTGTAGCTGGACATCTAGGACACGATGGCGGACAACGGCGTGGCTTCGATGCCATCCTCGCCGCCGCCGTGCCCGGAGGGGCTTAACAACGGCCTCCTCGTCGGGTAAGGGAGAGAGATAGGGAAAGAAACCGGCAGCAAAAAAAAGTAGGCCCCGCCGGTATTTGAACCATGCACCGTTCCGACAGTGGCGGGCCGTACGTGTCCTACGGCATCGCGGGCGTGCACAGCCACAGCGCGCTGGCCAAGAAGGTCCCCAACGACAAGAACAGCCTGCTCGTGGGGGCCGTGGAGCTCGGCCTGGGGGCGGCGGGGAGCGGCCCGCCAGGCTCGGGGGCGGGGGCCGGCGGGGGCGGCAAGCCCGCCATCACCCTCAGCAACCTGCCGCGCCGGCCCTCCGTGGACATCCAGTTCACCAACCTGGCCTACTCTGTGTCCGAGGGGCGCAAGAGAGGTGAGCACAAAGTGGATACGTCAGGAAGAAAATAAAATTTCGTTTCGTGGTGACTGACTTTGCTGGATAAGCCGAATTCCATAGCTGCAATGAAAATCCGGTACGTACGCACAACCAAAATCTGATAGCGGCGACCGAACATTTGTGAGCGGACAACTAACTGTAAGCTGGGGTGTGTTGTCGTCATACAAGTGTCCAGTCCAGTCGTAGGTTGGTTGTGCGTATCACCTCAACAAAGTTTTTTTTCCTTCGTGGTGGCCTGCATTGGCCGGGAAGGAAGCGCCGTGAGCTAACCACCATTGGTTTGCCGCAGGCTACAAGACGCTGCTCAAGACGGTGAGCGGCGCCTTCTGGTCGGGCGAGCTGACGGCCATCATGGGACCCTCGGGGGCGGGCAAGAGCACGCTCATGAACTCGCTGGCGGGCTACCGCACTTCGGCGCTTAGCGGCAACATCCTCGTGAACGGGCGGCCGCGCAACCTGCGCCGCTTCCGCAAGATGTCCTGCTACATCATGCAGGACGACCAGCTGCTGCCGCACCTCACCGTGCGCGAGTACATGATCGTGTCGGCCAACCTCAAGCTCAGCGACCACATCGGCGCCGCGGCCAAGCGCCGGATTGTGAGTACAGCGTCTGTCTGTCTGTCTGTCTGTCTGTCTGTCTGTCTGTCTGTCTGTCTGTCTGTCTGTCTGTCTGTCTGTCTGTCTGTGTGTCTTTGTGTGTACTGATTCGCCGCCGCGGCCTCCAGGTGGACGAGCTGCTGGAGACGCTGGGGCTGTGCGAGTGCCAGGACACCCGGACGGGCAGCCTGTCCGGCGGTCAGCGCAAGCGGCTGTCCATCGCGCTGGAGCTGGTCAACAACCCGCCGGTCATGTTCCTGGACGAGCCGACCAGCGGGCTGGACAGCTCGTCGTGCTTCCAGTGCCTGTCGCTGCTCAAGTCGCTGTCGCAGGGCGGGCGCACCATCGTGTGCACCATCCACCAGCCGTCCGCGCGCCTCTTCGAGATGTTCGACCAGTTGTACGCGCTGGCCGAGGGCCAGTGCATCTACCAGGGCTCCGTGCACGGCGTCGTGCCCTTCCTCGCGTCCATGGGCCTCGAGTGCCCCAGCTACCACAACCCCGCCGACTACGGTGAGCCCCGCCCAGCCTGGCCAAGCCATGCCGAAGCACCGCACCTGCACACTGCAGAAGACCGGCGCAGGCGGCCAACACTCTAGACGCGTTTTGAGCTCCAGAGTCGCTAAATGAGAATCGACCCGAACGAGTGACCCCACCTCGTTTGGAGAGCAACCCATTGGTGGGGTCACACGTTCGGATCGAGTCCTATTTAGCGACTCTCTGGAGCTCAAAACGCGTCCGGGACTTTGACCGCCTCCACCGGTGTGGTAGTGACGCCGTGCAACCCCTTGGCCAATGCAGGCTCAGGCCAATACAGAAGATGATCTCTCTCTCTCTCTCTCTGTTTGGCAGTGATGGAGGTGGCGTGCGGGGAGCACGGCGAGCACGTCCCCAAGCTGGTGACGGCCGTGGCCAACGGCAAGTGCAACAACCTGTACCAGACCGGCAAGTCCGCGCTACAGCAGCCAGGCAACGGCGCCAGCCTCTCCGCCAGCACCTGCGACTGCGGTAACTGCACTGTCATGCCAAAAAAAGAGAGAAACTACACTGTTATTCAACGCGTGTAACGTCTTATTCGAGAGAATGTTAATTTTGTCTCGTTTGTTTGAACGTGACACGGCCGTTTCATTGGGCCAGTGTCACATTCCTTTGAACGCAGATGATCGTTCAAACGAACGAACGTGACAAAACTCAAATTCCAACGAACGACGTCTCGCCCGTCGAATAGCAGTGCAGGGCGGTATTTGAACCGACGACCGCGTACCGCGTGCGCAGGGCTGTCGGTGAGCAGTATGCGGAGCGGGCCGGGAGCGCCAGACAGCTGCCAGAGCTGTCCGAGCTGCGCGCACTCCGCCACCACGCTGCTGGACTCCTCCGACGAATCCCTGAGCGGCGGCGGCTTCCCGACGTCCACCGCCAGCCAGTTCTGCATCCTGCTCAAGAGGACCTTCCTCTCCATCATGAGGGACCAGGTGAGTGTTGTGTTCCCCTCGAGGAGTCTACCACTGCACAACGGGCCAGAAGACCGGCGGAGGCGGCCAAAATTCTTGACGCGTTTTGAGATCTAGAGTCGCTAAAAATGGGACCCGAACCGGACGTGTGACTGGTCTTCTGGCCCACAGTGCATTGATTGAAAATATGTACACGAAAGTGCGTTCTGAGGACAGACTCAAGTTTTTAGTGTTCGGAAGGCAACTTCCGGGATTTTCCTATTTATTTTTAATATCGCTGTTCACCTTTCGTCTTGACTTGGTGCTTGGTCTCCGCGCTGCGTAGACGCTCACGCAGTTCCGGCTCATCTCGCACCTGACGGTGGGGCTGCTGCTGGGCGCCATCTACTACGGCATCGGCAACGAGGCCTCGAAGGTCATGAATAACGCGGGCTGCATCTTCTTCACCGTGCTCTTCGTCATGTTCACCGCCATGATGCCCACCATCCTTACGTGTAAGCATCTGCAATGAGTCGTTTTCGTCGTTCTGTCTCTCTCGCACTCATGGAGCGTCCCTAAGGGCCGTGAGGGAGACATAGCGACGAAAGGACTCGTCTCAGAATCGCCCCACGATCGCGACGGATCAGGGAATTCCCAATGACTCACGCGACCTTCTTGCGTTTCAGTCCCGATGGAGATGTCCGTGTTCGTCCGGGAACACCTCAACTACTGGTACTCTCTCAAGTCGTTCTACCTCGCCAAGACGGTGGCCGACCTCCCTTTTCAGGTAAGAAAAACAAAACCAAACGAAACGATGGTTGCAACGCTTCGCGCTGCGCACGCTAAAAACGGAACCTGGTTTTCCCAGGAAGCCAATGGTGAAGGTATAGGCGATTTCCAGGGAGTTCCTGGGAAAACCAGGAACCGTTTTTACCGTGCGGCGCTGCGTGGTGACCGCCGTGGCGGTAGGCAACCCTCCCTGCACCGCGGGCGTGGTGTTGCCTGCATGCACGGCGGCGCCGGCCCGCTTTCATCGCTCTGTCTCTGTCGCTCTCACGGGGCGCGTCCCGTAGGGGAGTGAGAGAGACAGGGCGACTGTCGCCCTCTGTCGCCCAGTGGGCCAGTAAACCGCCCCAGGCGACCAAAACATAGACGCACTTTGAGCTCCAGAGTCCCTCAATGGGACTAAGGAGCTCAAAACGCGTCTGGAATTTTGACCGCCCCCGCCGGTCTTCTGGCCCACTGTGTCGGCTAATGCCACTGTGTAACCCCTGCTCCTGCTCGGCCCTCAGCTCGCCTTCTCCGTGGTGTACGTGTGCATCGTTTACTGGATGACGGCGCAGCCCATGGAGGCGTCGCGTTTCTTCATGGTGCTTGCGATGTGCCTGCTCGTGTCGCTGGTCGCGCAGAGCCTCGGGCTGCTCATCGGCGCGGGCATGTCCGTGGAGGTAAGGAAGGACAGCATCCGCAACCAGAAGCGCGGTTCACAGTGGGCCAAAGACCGCGGCGGCGAAAACTCCAGACGCGTTTTGAGCTCCAGAGTCGCTGAATGGAACGTGTGACCCCACCAATGGATTGCTCCCCGAACGAGGAATCCATTGGTTGGGTCACACGCTCGGTTCGAGTCCGGTTTAGTGACTTTGGAGCTCAAAACGCGTTTAGAATTTTGTCCGCCTCCACCGGTCTTCTGGCCCACTGTGAGACGCCTCTACTGGACACCTCGGCAGAGACAGGCACCGACCTGCAGACTGATTCCGAATCAGTCTACTGACAGTCGCCCTCCCTTCCCCTCCAGAGCGGCGTCTTCCTCGGGCCGGTGACGTCGGTGCCGGTGCTGCTGTTCTCGGGCTTCTTCGTCAACTTCAACACCATCCCGCCGTACCTGCAGTGGCTGTCGTACCTCAGCTACGTGCGCTACGGCTTCGAGGGCGCCATGGTGTCGGTGTACGGCCTGGACCGGCAGAAGCTGCACTGCTCCGAGCCCTACTGCCACTACAAGAGCCCCAAGAAGTTCCTCATGGACATGGACATGGCCGACGCCAACTTCTGGCTGGACGCGGCCGCCCTGTTCGCCTTCTTCCTCATCCTGCGCTCGCTCACGTACTTCATCCTGCGCCTCAAGCTCCGGTCCACTCGATGACCGGCCGAGGAGACCACAGTGCCGAGGTGGGAAAACTTGCAATGCCACTTCACTTTGACGGGTCCTCAAGCGCCTGTCAGCCCCGGGGTAGGCAGGCCCGCACATCATGCCCGCTGGACGGGCGGGCCTAGCGCCGCCGCGGCAGGCTGATGCGCAGTGGACCAGAAGACCCGTGGGGACACCCAAAACTCCGGACGCGTTTTGAGCTCCAGAGTCGCTAAATGGGAGTCCATTGGTGGGGTCACACGTTTGGTTTGAGACCTGTTTAGTGACTCTGGAGCGTCCAGGGCCGCCCGCGCGGGCCCATCTCGATGACAAATGTTGTTTACTCGGCACCCCCGCTAGGGCGTCTTACTGGACAAACAATGCCAGCGCTGAGCTCAAGGGGGGAACTTGCGTGGAGGCACGCTTGATCCAAATGTACTCTAAAACATGATCAGCTCACACCACCCCTTGTCAAACTCTTTTAATCTGTGTACCTTTTATAAGTCTGTTTCTTTTTCTTTGTAATTCCAACTATTTAATAACTTTACTTTTACTATTAGGTACGGCTGTGATGTTTGAGGTGCTTTGAATAGTTTGTTCCATGATTATGTTGCATTTGCGTGAACTGTGATAACTACAGGTGTTAAGGTGTTGTTCGAATGTGGCTGCTGTTCCAGCCAAGAAGCTTTGAAGTAAATGATCTGTGGTTTAATAGGAGGCAATGTTTAGTTGTGTCAAAGCTGCCCAATTCGACTTAGAAGAATGCAAACAGTATGGCCATTTGTCGTCATTTCAGATTTCACAGAGAGGTGTCATATCCAGCCATAATTTGACTTTGTATGTAATAGCTTTACAGGTATTTTTTACCATATTGTGTTCACAAGATGTACAGTGCATTGGATTTGATTCACTGACAATTTTATACTAGCAGCCTTGTGACTGGGCAAAATGTGTCAGTATTTTTTCCGTTTTATGTGATAGTGTTTTCTATTTTCTTAGTAAGTCTAGGGACTAGAATTGGAATGCAGCAACAAAAATATTTTTCAAGAAATCAGATTAAAATAAAATTACTGTAGACAAAACATTGGTCCCCTTTTTTTCCCCTTTATGGTTTAAAATTACCATGTAGAAGTTCAAGAAGGAAACTAACAAACAAAAAAACAAACAAATCAAAACAGAAAATAGCTTATAGAATGGATTTATTCATGAAATATATAACACAAACCTTTGATATTGATAAAACCATGATGCAGTTCTCTACAGCACACTTCGATGTATGACCCTTCAGCATTTTGACAACAGTAGATTATTACCACACAGAACAATTAACTATATCACCCGTGCAAATTGTTAATGATAAAATTAATGTGAACAGCTATAAACAAGGAACACATGTGATGGGCAAAATGAATAATAAGAATGTAACTGAAAGAACAGATTGCACAAAAGAAAAAAAGGGTGGGGGGAAAGAAACAAACAGAATAAACAACAGTGTGTTTTGAAGAAGCCAACAAATGACCAGTAAACATAAGTAAAAAAAATGCATTATAACTGTCTGATTCCAATGTAATTCAAGCCTCTGCAGTATTACTCAAAACCGGGAATGTGATCGACTGGTTCTTCGTCGTGGAGATCTAGATCCACTTCGTTTACGAGGTCTGAATGAAGGAGATCTACTGCGGCGAGCTGAAGCACGAGCTGGAGACCTAGTCCTGCTGCGCTTTTTGCGAGATTTGGAAGAAGGTGTGCGACTTCTACTTTTCCTCTTGGAGCGCCCACTTTTACCTCTTGATCGAGACCGGGTACGTGAGCGTGAAGGTGACTTGCGGGATTTCTTCTTGTCCTTCTTCTCTTTTTCTTTGTCTTTTTCTTTATCCTTTTCTCTGTCCCTATCTTTATCCTTTTCCCTGTCCTTTTCTTTATCCTTTTCTCTGTCTTTATCCCTATCCTTTTCTTTAACCTTTTCTCTGTCCTTTTCTTTTTCTTTCTCCTTGTCTTGGTCTCGATCTTTCTCTTTCTCCTTGTCCTTGTCTTTCACCTTTTCTTCTTTCTTGGATTTTGATGGTTCTGGCTCTGACTTGGTGTCACCATTGGCCGTCACTTCAGCATTTTCTGGACCAACATCATTTGATTCATCTTTCTTCTCACTTTCCTTATCTTTGGAATTTTTGTCTGAGTCTTTTGACTCAGTTTCCTTTTTGTCCTTGCTATCTTTAGAATCTTTAGTTTCCTTCTCCTTGGTTGGTGTCCCTTTGTCTGAGCTTTTTTCTTCTTTGGATTCCTTAGGGTTCTTCTTCGATGATTTATGAGATTTAGTTTTGGATTTAGACCGGGACCTTCGGGGTTTGGAGGCATCCCTGGATCTCTTGCGACTTCTTGAACGAGACCGTTTCTTTCTAGGAGATCTTGAGTGGCGCCGAGACCTAGAACGAGAACGCTTGCGTGATCTGGATCTTGACTTGTGTCTTCTGCCTCGGGATCTTGAACTTGACCTTCTACCTCTTGACCTGGAACGACGTCTGGATCTTGACCTGCGTCTTCTATGGGATCTTGACCTCGATCTTCTAGACCTTGATCTACTCCTCGTTCTTCTCTTCTTGTCTTTTGCCAGCATACCAATAACTGGGTCAATAGCAGCAGATATATAATTTTGGGCTTCCTTCACTCTGCTCATTGCTTCTTCAATTTCTCGTTGAGCTGCTTCATTTGTTTTAGCCTGGGGCTTAATTATTGCTTGAGTTGAATGAGTGATTGTTACACACTTCCCATTTAATTCTTGACCATTCATCTTGAGGGCTTTAATTATATCAGGCTGATCAGTGAATTCAACCAGAGCATAACGATTGGGATCATCATCTCTGGAACAAAGCTTAACATATTTCACCTCACCAGCTTGAGTGAAAAAGTCCATAAGTTGTTCGCCTGTGACATCGTCATCAAAACCAGACACTAGAAGGGTCCGTCGTATTTCTTCAATCTTCTTGATGTCATAGGATGTGGGAAGCTGTGGATACATATCCAAACCTTCCATCTCCAAATTAGGGTCGATGGTAACTATGTACTGATTTGGAGGAGTCCCTTCAACCTGATTCACAACATGGGCTGGTAGTTTAGGTTCAATTTGTAGTCCTGGAATCATCGAACCAGATGCCATAATCTCCAGAGCCCGTTGTTCATCTGGTATCTCGGAGGTGGCCACAGGAATCACAATCAGGGCTCTGTCAATGAAGACAGTGTTGGTGAGGTGCTGAGCGACACCAACACAGGATGAATCGTTGTACTTGACATAGCAAATTCGAGATTGGACTGGTACAGCAACATCTCGAATAGTAGGGTACAAGCGAATATCATCTATCTTCCCCAAAAACCCGAAGAGCGTCGACATCTGGTCCTTGGTGGCCTGTGGGGCGATGTTTGTCACTTGCACGACTTTGGTCACCATTTTCACGATTTGACGGCTTCACAGACACTAAATACTGCTAACAAACGGAGCTCGACGGCCAAGTTTGGTTAGGGCACCTAGACCGGCAAGGTTTGGCCCGAGAACGCCAGCTCTGGTGTGCCTCTCGTCGGAACTTGGTTCTTCAAGCACTACATTCTCCTCGTTTATCTTTTGCACTTCATGATTTTAAGAGTCCGATTCTCCAAGTTGAAACGGCAACAATACGATGGCTTTTTGCAAGCCGCTTCACGCGTCTGCGTCTCAAACAAACGGAACGGATTTGGAACTGGAACGTCAGGAACAACAGCGCGCAGGCGCAGAAGCTGACCACGTGACTAAACGTGCGCGAAGCGCGCGAGGGGACAACTGACCAAATGGACGAACTGGCAACGACACTTATACGAAATTGGTATCTCGGCTGAGATGACGTAAAGAGAACCAGTACATACCAGTGTGGAGCAGTTCTAACATGTTACTGGTTGCACCATCATGCGCAATCTGTGTAACTAAGCGAAGAATGAATAAATACAGCTAAAATGCTTGAGGTTTGAAGAAATGAAACACGGTACAGTGATTTCTCATGAAGTGTATTCAAAATTAAATTGATGAGCAGAATTCATGGTTTGTAAGGAAAGTAACAACATTTTACGTCCAACTGTAGGACTGTTAAGAATCAGGTAACAGAAAATAAAACTTAATAATCATAAAAATATGTCAATAAAATATGAACTAATGTTGTAACTTTGTAATAACAATAAACAGTAACACAGTAAAATTTTTGAATTTTAACAAATTAATGAAGTACACTAATTACTCATCAGAATCAGATGATGGTGGGCTCAGTGGCAAATCTTCATCAACGACCGTTTGAAGCATTTCTCTAATCCTTTCAGCACTTTTGGCACGAATTTGTCGAACAAACTCTTTGTAGTCCACAGCCTTCCTGGCAGAAACCTTTGCTGGGAACGACTGATCTTCTTCAGGATCAAGATACCTTGAGCATCCAGCCAAAGAGGTTTTCTGATCCCTGAAAATAAAAATAATTAAACAAAAAAGATTTAGGGTGACAATGGTGAGTAAAACTTAATGTGGGACTAGAACAAGGGATAAATTTGTACCTCAAACTCTTCTCATTCAAATTTGAAGCAGTCCGGCAACGATCCACCGATGCAGTGAGCTTTTCAACAAGGCCTTTAATTTCAACCAACTCTGTTGACACAACATTTTGATTTGCTGACATGTTTGAATTGGCATCTTTAGCACGCTCAAGGTAATCTTTGAGACGCATCTATAAACAGAAAAAAAAAAAAAAAAAAAAAAAGAAACTAGGTACACACACATATATAAATAAGTAATTTCAGATACAAACTCTCAAGAATTGTGAGCGGGCAGATTCATTTTTCACAGCCCCAGACTTAGCTGAAACAACAAATGAAAAAGATTTTTATAAATATTTGCTAGTGAACAGAAATAACAAGGAAAATTAGTTTCCAATATTTCAAACCTTCTTTACTAGATGTAGAGTAAACATCACTAGTATCAATGCCACTGTCCCATTCTCTGGATTTATTTTTTCTACTAGTACTTGGTGTCTGCCTACTATCTTTAGGAGCGCTGGAAAAATATATATTTGGGACTGCCTTTGTCCCAATCTCAGAGGGTGAAGAGACTGCACTGCTATTATTCTTCAAGTTTGTAATTTTGTTGCCAGAGATGGTAACTAAATTAATTTGCCTGCTGTTGGTGACTTCTTTGGCAGTCTCAGCCACGACAGATTTCAGACTATAGTCAATGACTTCACAATGTTCCACTTGCTCAACTGGTGGCTGAATAGGACTAGGTTGCAGCACAGGTGAACTTGGTTTTTTGTTTTCGGTCTTCACATGCTTGCTAGAGTGGGAGTGGGCCTGAGGTACAATTTTCTCTACTTGATGGGCTCTCTTCGAATGTTCCATTTCAAAGCTGTCATCCTCAATGGGACTATAATACTGACGAGTGGTATTGTGACCATCCTGCTCTTCTGATTCCGAACCAATCTGAGGGATTGAAGAGGCTGTGCTGCCATTCTTGGCATTTGTATATTTATTGCTGAGGATGTTAGTTGAATTATTACTTGGCCTGTTGTTTGTGACTTCCATTAATGGAGTCTTCACATTAGTAGTCTCAGCCACAATAGGTTTCTTGCTGAAGGTGGTAGTTAAATTATTATTTTCCCTGTTGTTTGAGACTTCCATTAATGGATTCTTCATATTGGTTGTCTCAGCCACAACAGGTTTCTTGCTGAAGGAAGTAGTTAAATTATTATTTTGCCTGTTGTTTGTGACTTCCTTAGGGGTCTTCATATTGGTGTTCTCAGCCACATCAGGTTTCTTGCTGAAGATGGTAGTGAAATTATTATTTTGCCTGTTGTTTGCAACATGGTTTGTGACTTCCTTTAATGGAGTCTTCACATTGGTAGTCTCAGCCACAGCAGGTTTCTTGCTAAAGATAGTATTTGCATTATTGATTTGCCTCTTATTTGTCTCATGACTTGAGATTTCCTTCAAAGAAGTCTTCGAATTGTTTGTCTCAGCTGAAGGTTTCGCACTAACACAATCAAGGTCCTTCTTGGCTCCATGATTTAATTTATCTCTAGGTGGTACATTTTCTTTGATTTTGGGATAAGACTTGTTGTTCATAAAACAGGCAAACCTGGGCGGAACTTTAGGTGGTTTTGCAGTCTTTTTCTTGGGTGCAGCTTTAGAAGGGATTTTAAAAGAATTCTCTGATTCAGTTTTTCCAAAGTTATATATCTCGCTTTTTCTGACTTTGGAGCAACTATCTAATTCTTCTACCTTCTGCTTCCAGTGGTTTGGTTTTGGGTCATTGGCCTTAGAAATCTGTTCTTGATGAGGCTGGATTTGTTTTTCTTCAAGGGAAAAACTGCATTCCAGAAATTCTTTGCTGGATTTAGAGTATAATGTTCTCTTGCCTGTTTTTTGACCTGGTGTGTTGTTGGTCCGAACATTTGAGGATGATTTATCTTCTGGTCTGGCAAAGGTAATTTTATTCAGTTTGATACTTGGCATCTCATATTGAATAGCCCCAGTGCCAGCTACTCCTAGTTGAGCAGGTTTGCCAGACTGCCCCTTACTAATCGGAGTTGGTGGAACCTCTATCTTCCTCTTCTTTGATTGAGAAGGCGAGTGGGTTGAAGCTGAACGCTTTTGGCCACTTAACTTGGTTGAATCCTTGACAGAAGAAAACCCAGAAAACCACCTTTCTACTTTGGAGCAGTGATCTTCTTCCCCTAATTCTGACAAGGGGCTTTGAGCTCTGAATGTATTTTTCTTTGAAATTTCTGGAGGGTCATGAGTAGATACCGTGATGTCACTGTCTCGTCTGGGACAAAACTGCCTATTCTTTGGTGATATATCAAACTTTTCACGGACTGCCTTTGCACTATGAGATTTAGACTGTGTTAAATTGCTACCATAAAATTGCTGGTTTGTTTCTGGAAGAAAGAAAATAAGAAAGAACTTATAAATTTAAAAGATTTCTATACTTTAAGTGACACAAAATCATTACTGAAATTAAGTATAGGAGACACTGACCTGGTCTCTCATTTTGAGTAGTCATACGGATCGTATGAGTGTTTCTTGTCTGAAACTCATCACGGTCTCGAGGAGGTTTCAATACACTTGACTGTGTCGAGCCAGACCCATTTAGCGAGCTCTTCAAATGATTAGGGTGAGATGAAGTCTGAAGTCTGGCAGTCACAAGATTCTGTTTGGATGAATTTAAGCTCTCACTATTTCTCCAGTCAACACTAGGCTTTAAGAATAGTGTTCTAGTTTCTTGTTGAACGTTGAAACTAATTCCTTGAACTGTGCCAGTATTTTCTGACCCCTTTCTGACCCCAGCTGGAGGCAGAATATGTAAAACAAAGTATTACAAGTACTGAAATTTTTTTTCATTTGAATACAACTTGAATTGTTTATCATGATCAGTACCTGCATTAGATGTAGTTTCACCAAAATTTTTAGCTATGTTTTGACTGGAACAATATGAATTTAAGCTCTTCACATATGACAGTGCTGTCCTGGTGGAACAGCTCTTGTGATTCATCTGAAACATAAATTTGATTCAAATCTAAAATGTCAAATTTACTATATTAAAATTAACAAACAATAGGACTAAATACTAACATTTGAGATGGTTCTTAGTTCGTATAATTTATCCAAAAATATGCCACAACCCTGGAAAAAATTTAATGATTGCCAGAAGTTAAACAAATTAGGTAAAATAAGGAACCAGCTAAGAGGAATTCTCAATCCATTACCTGTGAATAAGATTTTGTGCAGCATTCAATGAAAGAATCTCTTAGGGTGGGCCATTTATTGAACCAAATATGAGCCTTTTCATCAGCCTCATCTTTGCTCAACACTGATTTAAACAGGATGGTGTAAATGCTCATTTGGCCATCCACAGATAGGTCTAGAATCATCTTAGCTACATATTTCCTGTAAAATAAAATTGTCATGTCAAGTTCAACTTTGGAGGAATAAAAAGACATGCTATGGCACCTACAAAAATATACATACAGGCGAAGTGACACTCTCTTGAAAGTTGCAGAAATCTTCTGTTGATCTGCTTTTAGGCAGAGAGAACTCAGAGCTGTCAGAATTAATTCTTGAAGACTTGTTTTAACATCTCGGGCAAGTAACAGAGTTAGAAGGCTTTCTGCACATTTGTTGAATATTGATGTGCTCAAGTTTACACTCGGCTTGCTCGACAAACACTTTAAGAGAGAAATAATGCATCAAAATATACCATCCAAAAATTTATATTCAAACAGGACATTAGTGAATAACTTACTATCAACACATGGCATAACTTGGTAAGAACCTTCACAGCTTCTGGAAAGTTGGAGGTCTTATGCAGTGAGTCTTGCTTTCTGATATCAACAATAAAGGTAAGACATCCACAGAGAAGTTGCGAAATTTCTTCATAATAAGAAGACCAAGGTTCTTCAACCTAAAAGAGACAGAAAAGTGAAATGAAAATGACACAAGTCCAGCCATAATATTCCCGACAAGCAACCCCTGCCTAGTGTACCTCACTGTTCGTTGAAAACTCATCGAGACACACTGTCACAATCTGGACAGCAATTTTCCTCTGCAAAGTGTAAAGTGAGGAATGCAGATAAGATTTAAACCACACTAAATGATAGTACTTCCGTCTTTGAGATTTTACCTCCGTCTTGTCTCTGAGCACCCTCTGGAGCTCGGCCACCACAGCCCCATCCAGTACGGGCGGGGGCGCGGCCTGGCTGTTGGCGCTCCGCTTCGTGGTGAAGTACTGGTAAATGTCGACATCCTGACGATCTTTGCTCAGCAAAATCGAATGCAGGGCTGGGGCCTTCGGCTGAGACGCCACTTTGCGAATGCTCTTCTTCTACAGACAATAGAAATGGGGGTGCCGGGGTTAGAAGCTCATGCGCTGGAACGGGATGCTTCACAATGGTGTTTGCTGAGCCTATACACTCGCGATAGTCAGGAGAGCACGAAATGCCGGACACTTACCGGTACCATTGTCGAAAAATATATCTTGAAACTAAATTACCGGTAAGGCAAGCACGACTCTTGAAACACAAAAGCGTTCCGCGGCTGCGGTAGCGGTAACGGTCGCCTCACACGAATCAAATTTTGCAGTGCGGTGGCTACTTCCGCCGTCGCTGTGGCCAACTGTCGAAACAAAAGAGGCACGTATTTTGGTTTTGCTGTGCGAGTTTCTCTCTATTCAAGCCGTACAAATAGCTTTAAAAATTTTAAGTGACGTTAGGAAAAAAACTAGTTCTTTTGTTTTTTGAGGGAGTGGTGCGCGCGTTTGGCTCAGGTGCAGTCGTGTTGGTACGAAAACACATCCGTTTCGATTCAAACCGCGCTTGCGAGCAATGCATCCGCCGTTCTCATTTGAAAACCAGAGGTTCGTTTTAAAAGCGGGAATTCGGTCGGTGGGGGAAAAAATCCCTCTGTGTAACGCTTGATTCCACGCTATGCGTGTCAACACCCACAGCTGACCGGCGGAGTCCGTTCCCCTCCCCTCCCCGTCGCCTCGGAGGAGGGGGTGCCAGGGGGCACCCACGGGGAAAGTGGACGTTTGGGCCCCCCGACGGAGGACGGGGCGCCCTCACGGCCCCCACGGCCCTCCCGACGCTCCCGGCGCTCGCCCAGTCGTATAAGAGCTAGGGCCTGGTCTGCGAGTGCGGCACTCTGGCAGACTCCACCGGACCCAGCATGACTGTCCCATCACGCTCCTCGGTGGTGAGTGCACGACCTTGACAGACACACCCCCGTTTGGAAGGGAAACATAGCTGACTTGACGAGGCTTTCGTCTCATTCCGTCGCTTCCACGAGTGGAAAGCCTTGCCTTGTGATTGCCCTTCCTGCAGGTTTGCCCTGCAGTGCTTCCACCAAAGGGGCGGATATCCGTTTGTGGCCTAAAAACGCGAACGAGTGATCTCAGGACGTTCAGACTCCTCAGACCATGGTGTCCCCGAGAAGATTTAGCGCATGGTGTTAGAGTTCACCCGTCTGATACACCCGGTAGCGCCTGTGAGGTAGGCCAGCGACCCGTACTTCAACACACCGCTGTGAAGACGATGGCCTACCTCGCGCCTGACAGGGGCAAGGTAGGCCACCGTCTCCACAGCGGAGTGCGCCAGGACGGGTGAGTGGCCTACCTCGCAGGCGCCTTTAGCGCTACATTGCAGGCACTTACAGGGACACATCGCGTTAACACTGTTGACTTCTACTCGTAGCCCTGTGAGTGCAAGAGGGACAGTTAACCTCGCGATGGGTACAAAAGCAAAGCTCGTGTTTCTCCAGCCACAGATAGTTTTTTTTGATCTCTCGAAAACAGTTTTAGCCTGCCTCGGGACGTTGTGACCGCACTCTCCGTGCTTCCGCTTCGCTTCCTGCTTTTGTCGCTGTCTCTCTCGCACCCTTAAAGGACTCCCTAAGAGTGCGACGAGAGCAGTGCTCGGCCTGCTGACCGCGACACCGACTCCTTGGTTCCTTTCCGGACTACGCAACGTGCGACTGACTCAACGAGCGTGTTGTTGTCTTCACGCCGCGTTTGCGGCCAACCCGGCCAACTCGGCCAACGCGGTCGAAAAACGAAAATCGCGCGGCCAGCCGGTGGTCTTGCACACTTTGGAGGCGCAACACGGCGTGGGCGGCAGCGCGTTACGCCGCTGCAAAAAGGCGCCGGCAGACTGATTCCGAGAGTCGTTTTCGTCGCTCTGTCTCTCTTCCACTCGTGGGGCGTCTCTTATGGGTGCGACAGAGACGAAGCGACGAAATCGACTCTCGGAGTCAGTCTGCTGGTCGACTGGAAAAAGAGGAACAAGGGAGGACACGCCAATCTGGGCATTCCCTGCGCCGTTGAGGCCGGTAGTGAACCAGCGCCTGTATGTTTGTGTGTGTGTGTTTCAGTCGTTCGCGCTGCTGGCGATGCTCGTCGTCGTCATCCTGGCCCTGGGCGAGGCCGAGGCGCGGCGTCCGCGACCACCCCGTCGACCAGCCGCCGTGTACGAGAACCCCGGCGGGAACCACGGCGGCCCCTACTCGGACCAGCACGCCGCGGCCTCCGGACACGGTGAGGACGAGGACTGTGAAGACCGCGGCACAGTGGGCCAGGAGACCGGCGGAGGCGGTCAAAATCCCGGACGCGTTTTGAGCTCCAGAGTCGCTAAGTGGGACTCGAACCGAGCGTGTGACCCCACCAATGGATTGCTCTCCGGACGAGGAATCAGAGCTCGGACTTTTGGCGAAACTGACTGGCTGATGTAGCTCGAAGAATCCATTGGTGGGCTCGCAAGTTCGGTCCGAGCCCTATTTAGCGACTCTGGAGCTCAAAACGCGTCTAAAATTTCGGCCGCCTTCGCCGGTCCTCTGGCCCACTGTGCCCTCGCGCCCTCGGACCGCGAGGACCGCCAGGCGCCAGGACATGTCCGCCGCGGCGAGGATTCAACTTGCCACCACGCAACAATGAAGCCGAGCTGCTCGGAGGAGAGAAACCAGGACTGCGTTTCGTCGTCCCGTCTCTGTCGCACTCGTGGGGCGAGCCGTAGGAGTGCGAGAGAGACAGAGCGACGAAGCGAGCAGCGGACGGCCGCTTGCCGCTTTCGCGTCGTAAAACGGCCGGACCGGGACAAGACGTTCCCCGGAGATAAAAATCTCGTCACCGCGTCGCCGCGTCAGCCGACCGACAATGTATTCTTGGCTTTCCCTCCCAGGGCACCACGGCCGCGTCCAGATCAAGGTGTACCGAGGCCCCGACCACGGCCACCACGGCCACGCCCCCCACGGCTACTGGGTCAAGCAGCCCGCCGACGACGCGCCGCACCACCGCCGCCGGTAGAGGTAAGTCTGGCTCCTTACCCTCCCGCAGGCTCCACCTGATCCACCCACCACGAGGAAACAACAACAACAACACACACTGAAAACTAAAGTGTGAACTTAGTGTACTAAGTCAGCGAGTTCACACGTTAGTGAGTCCACGCTTGAGTTTACAGTGAAGTTACACTATTGTAACAAGTCAACAGAGACTCTTTGAAATTTCAGAAATTGAAAGAAAGTCTCCCAGATGCGGCCACTTTTGCCACTTTAACTCCAAGTTAATTGCCCTTTGTGCGGCGCCGCGGCGGCGCCTTGTCCGAGTGAAGGAGGAGGAGAGACATATAAAACGCCTGGCTTTCCCTTCCAGAGCTCCCTGCCGGTGACTCCAGAGGCATCACGAGCGACGCGTGCACCAGCAGACTGCTTCCGAGAGTCGTTTCCGTCACTCCGCCTCGCGCGCACTCATGGGCCGTCCCGTATAAGGTGCGAGAGAAACAGAGCGACGAACAAGACCCTCGGAATAATCGTACTGGACGACCAGGACGGCGAAAGCATCGCGCCGTCGCGCCGTGGTACTTCCCTGTCCCACGTTCCGCGGGACTAGCCGCCAGGCTGGTAGCAAGACTGACAGAACCGTAATGTAATTGTAAATAAATTTATTTTGTACATATGGTTGTTGCTTTTATCGACGGGAAGATCTCACTCGCTCAGACATCCACGAATATGAGTGTGTAGTAGTGTTCTTGTGAACTTTTGTCTGTGGCGTATTACAATAAATGGATACCTTATTTATGAAGGACTGTTGGATTTATTTTGGAAACGTTCCACGGTTTATCCACTTGCACACATTTTCGCCATGCTCATGCATTTGCCGACTGTGGCACAGTGGGCCTGAAGACCGGGGTAGGCGGCCTAAATTCTACGCGCGTTTTGAGCTCCAGGGTCGCTAAGTGGGACTCGAGCCGATCGTGTGATCCCCCCCCCCCACCAATGGATTCCTCGTTTTTGCAGCTCAAAATGCGTTTAGAATTTTGGCCGCCTCCGCCGGTCTTCTGGACCACTGTGTGTGGCAGGGTGCGCGGGTCAGCCGGACAGATAGGCAGCCCAATCGGCACCCGAGGCCCCTCTTGAGGCCAGGAAGAGGGGGGGGGGGGGGCAAGAGGAAGGAAGAAGGAAAAGGAAAGGAAGGCAAACGGCGAACAGCAACAGCAACACTGACAATGGTCTCCGCAGCTCGGATGCTGTGTTTTTCCTGTAATTTCGTCCTATCCAAATGAATTGGTGATGTATTTCCCGCTGCGTTTCGCGTTCGTGGCCCTGTGCATCACGAGCCAAGTGCAGGGTGAGTTTGGAAAGTACCCGTCGTCTGTCTAAAGGCCTTGTTTTCGCCCTCATAACCTGTACGGCTCGACGACTGATGTGTGTTTACAACAAATTATCTGCCCTCGGCTGCTTTTCGTCTCGGATTCCTTTGACAGTGGGCTCTTAGATCCTTTTTCGTACAGTCCTGATTGGCTTTCACTGTGAGGGCAAGATTCTAGTCTCGTCTTCTCAGACCATTAACCTATCCCACGGTTTGTTTCTTACAATTATGTGGTTTGACTTTCTGTATTTTGTTGATAAACAAACAGTCGTCGCCGTTTCAGTCATCACACATGTGAAAGGGGCTAATGTAATTGGGGGTAATGTCTCTAGGTTTGTTGTTTGCTTGAACTTGCTTTTGCTGCTGCAGGTCTAAGTCTTCACTTGGACCATGACGCTGAGAGCTCCATGCTGGACACAGAGAATGCAGCTCAGCTATCTACCCCGGAAGATGACAAGGTTCAGTCAGTTCCCAGTGCAGCCGTCAGTTTTGGATTTTTGCAAGAAGGGAAGTCTGCGACACGGAACTGGAATGGAGACATTGATGAGGACGATGAAGAAGAGGAAGAGGAACATAATCTGGGAAGGAAGGAGGACTTAAAAGGAGGCTATGTGGTGCCCAAAGGCAAGTTTGCTGGTGCGAAGCCTGAGGATCTTGACCACTCTGGGAAACACAGTCAAAGAGGAAAGTATACTTGTCTTCAGTGTGAAGAACCGGATTGTCGACCACAGCCTCAATGTGAGGGTGCTTCACAGGTATGAATCTGTTAATTTCCTGACAGAATGCCATTAGAGTCTGATTTCTCATGTATTCATTTCTTCCTTTATTATTGCTTCTCTCTTTGTTTCCAGTGTTACACTTCACGAGTGAGGGAACATAATGGTCAAGAACTTATCAGCCGAGGCTGCATTAAACCAAGTGATCAAGTACCACTCATGTGCTACACTGCGAGTTCAAGTCGGCATGCTATAAATTGCTGTGGTGGTGATAACTGTAACAATGGTTCCTTCCCAGAACTTGAGCCTCTGAAAACTCTTGGTTAGTAGCAGCTTTGTGGAAACTCTTAAGTTTTAGACTACATTTACAACTTACCACTGATTTTCTTGAAAATTCTCTTACAGGCCAAGAAGAACCTGGTTATGATTTGAAGCTAGTTTTTGCCATACTTGGCCCTGTGTTGCTTCTTTTCATCGTTGGATCAATAGTGATTTATGTTATGCGGCGAAGACATCACAAGATAGTTGAGGCTGCCAGAACATTAGCAGACCCAGACCCATTTTACGCTTCGGAGGACTTACTTCGTGCTACAGCTGCGGGAGATTCTACTCTTAGGGTAAAGTCAAATTATTGTCTTTTGTCTTCTTTTTCAGAATTAACTTGAAATTTCATTTCATTATCTCATTTGCTTTATTTATTTGTTTAGGAATACTTGGAGCATTCTTTGACATCTGGCTCAGGATCTGGTTTGCCATTACTGATTCAGCGGACCCTAGCAAAGCAAATTTCACTTGCAGAATGCATTGGGAAAGGTCGCTATGGTGAGGTGTGGCAAGGGTATTGGCATGGAGAAAGGGTTGCTGTAAAAATTTTCTTTTCTCGTGATGAGGCATCTTGGAGCAGAGAAACTCAGATTTACAGGTAAGTGCTGTAATGAAGTCACCTCTCTGTCAGTAATTATTTGACTTTTTCTGCATGCTGTTTATCTAATTTTATGTTATCCCTATCATTTTCAGCACTGTGTTAATTAGACATGACAGCATTCTTGGCTACATTGGATCAGATATGACTTCCCGAAATTCATGCACTCAACTATGGCTGGTTACTCACTACCATCAATTGGGGTCACTTTATGACCATTTAAATCGTGTAACCCTGACCAGTAATCAAATGATGAAAATTTGTTTGTCAACTATCAATGGACTTCTGCATCTCCACACTGAAATTTTTGGCACCCAGGTATGATGTTTGTTTTTGTTTTACATTCAAGTCCAAGTTCAAGTCACAGTCACAGTCCTGGGCCTTGTGTCTTACATGTCTTAATTTTACAGGGTAAACCAGCCATAGCTCATCGGGATATCAAAAGTAAAAATATTCTGGTGAAAGACAATGGATGCTGTGTTATCGCAGACTTTGGTTTGGCTGTTACCCATGTGCAATCCACAGGGGAGTTGGATGTTGCTCAAAACCCACGTGTGGGAACTAAACGATATATGGCACCTGAAATTTTGGATGAATCGTATGTTGAACTGTTGCTTTGTGCAAACTTATTGAATGTTTGCTTGCATTTGCTTTTTTTCAAAAATTAGTCTTCTGCTTATGTATGGCTTTTCATTGTTTCAGAATCAATATGGAATGTTTTGAAGCATTCCAGAGAGCTGATATCTATGCCTTTGGCCTAGTTCTTTGGGAAGTGTGCAGAAGAACCAAGTCCCATGGTATTGTAGAAGACTACCTTCCTCCATTTGGGGACTCAGTTCCTTCTGACCCTAGTTTTGAGGACATGAAGAAAGTGGTATGCTCTGATGGTCAGCGACCCACAATTCCCAACCGGTGGTCTTATGATGAGGTATGAAATGCAGCAATGGAGTTTCAAGCATAATATTTTAACAGATGCTTTAAAAAGATGCTGTTCTAACTTTTGTTTTTGCTTCCTCATTTCCAGACTCTAATGGGCATGGCAAAGCTCATGAAGGAATGCTGGCATCATAAATCAGATGCACGGTTATCTGCATTAAGAGTTAAAAAGACACTAGCTAAGCTTGCACCAACTGATGTCTTCTTTCATCTGGATGATTGAAATGTGAACCATACGACTGAATGCCCTGACACTGCCAATGTAGTGGTAGAAGTTGACTTTTCAATTTTGGAACTTTGCACAGCTTTAGTCTGTGATTGTCTTCCCCATCCCTTTTCATGGAGACTGAAGAAGAATACTAGTGTGGTGCCACATCTTTCAATTTGGGGAAGAATAGTGATAATTAGTTTGTAGCTTGTAGTACAACATTTTACAAACATAAAATTAATGCATATACATAGACATTGAGTTGAATTAATTTATGAAGCCTTTTAAAGTAACTGTCTACTACTTAGTTTCTGGGAGTTATATATGTAATATACTTCCTAGCTACATCATTGCTATATTTGGTTAATGTAAATGCTCAATTGCCTTTTAGTACCTTTTGTATGTTTTAATTAATTTTAAAATTGTTATATTACTCTACATCTATTTTTAAAATTTTGATTTGTGAATTTTAAATGAGAGAGGTCGTACCCATAATTCATGACCGATTGGGGGAGAGAGGGGAGTTCTGGCCAAATTCTACACGGTCTCTCAAATACATGGGAGGCCTAAAATCGGCTACATAATATGTATACGGCTCCTTCCCTCTAGCTTTCTGCACAGATTTGTAGCTCTTAACCCATTCAGGGCTGAAACAATATTATTGGGAAATAATTCATTCTGTTACTTTCCAAAGAGACTGGAGTCAGGATACGTAGTTGAACTTGCTCTTGACAAATGCTAAACAATATTGGTCGTTTGCTGTGGTGGATGGACTATGATTTCTCTGTCAGGCCCTTTGATTGAAGTGCTAAGGCCTCTTCACTGGGCATGCCACTGGGATCTCGCATAGGAGAGGTCATCGTTGATTCTCTTACCTGGAGTAGGGTCATAATTTGGTTTTTGTTATGAGTGAGTTAAACTGAAGTTTACCTGCATGCCTTGCCGTCCGTTTATATCCCTTAAGTTTGCTGTTTTGCTTATTTGATTGTACTGTAATATGAGTTACTTGTAGTCACTTTTGTGAGACAAGCTTGCTCTGTTAACTATTTTTAACTACAATAATGGGCAACCATCTTTTAAAAAATAACTCCAACTTAATCTTGAAGTAGTGAATTTGTAAATATTATTTTTAATACGCTACATTTAGGATATTTTTGAATGAAACATGTTTTTGTTCTGAGATGCGGTTGTACTTTTTCATCAGTACTTCGGTTAAGACGAAGTTCGTCATCATACAAAGTGTACATGTTATTTTTTACCATGTGTTGATGGTATGAAATGTTGTGAAAGAACTGTTTGTACTAACTTCAGCACAGATCAGGTTAGCTCTGTATTCTGAATATGCCAAAGTGGCTTTGCTTCTTTTTTCCATCACGTTTTTAAAATCTTAAACAGCTTTTGAATTGTGGTAACATACAACATGAATAATACCAATTAACATTTTAATTAATGTTATCAAAGGTTGTGCATCAATTTATTTTAAGTTTTATGTTATAACTTGTTATTTTGTCACTTCAAATATTGTACTGTATTATACATCATTTGGTTGATTTGAATATCTATCTATCTAGAACTTTGATTTCTATTGAATGTTTTGACTCAATTCTTAAGGCAGTTGTTCATACTTCTTTTGAAATAATGATAGAAGTAAGATTTGGTTTGTTCTGGTTTGTGCTCTTCCACAGTTGGAAAAGAACTGTGGCTAGAATATTTGAGAAGTATTTTACCATTACCTGCACCAATCAGGAGATGGAGTTCAAATCAAAGCAAAGACCCATGATGTGGAAAAAGAAATATTAATAGTGATATTTTAGTAATGTTGTGTCAACTTCATGTGCCATTATGGCAAGACTGATAAAATTTGTGAGTTCAATACTCAACGTCACTGAAAGGTCTGCAATTACTCTTGCCACCTCCAACAAAATCTAATTTTATGTGTTTGTAGTTGCTTATGTGTACAGTAGAATTTATTTTAAATGTATTTGCTGTGTACCACCCACTTCTATTGACCAAGTACAAAAGAATGAAACAAAAAAAAAAGAAGAAAAAAAGGAACAAACTAGAGTGTTTTACATTCACCTCCCAAAGCATTGTATCCTTTTTTAAAGTATGGAAGAAAATCTGCTAGATCTTGCTTTACTAGAAATCGGACCTTGGAATCCGCGGGCTCGGGGCTGAACTCTCTAAGCGTCTCAAAACACATGCACATATGAAAAAAAGGGGCTTGTAAATCAGAGTCCTAAATGTTGCAAAGAGAGGAATTAATGAGAGGATGAAGAAAGTAAGGACACATTTTTTGACACTACCATTTATTAAATGAAAAGTGATGAATGAAGATAGTGATTGAGAGAACAATAATTGTTATTAATGTAATTGTGTACACAGCGATTGATTTGTTGTTAGTACGCTCTGCTGACGCAGCTTATAATTAAACATTTGGAAGTAAAACCCACAAACAACCAAAACATACACTAAGGAAATCAATAAATAGTAAATTTGCCATCAATGGGAGAAATTAAGGCAAAAAATACAAAAGGTACTAACATTAATAAACATAACAAAATAAAGCTTGGGTTCAAATAATGAACAAAACCAGCTTGCACAACCAAATAGCAGGACTACCCAGTTATAGACCATGCAGAATTAAGTTTCCCTTTCTTGACTAGGTCCCAAGAAAATGTAGTGCAAAGGCCCGTTTTCATTGATTGGATGATTTTCCCATTTTGAATGGGCAAGGCACATCCAGAAGTTCACAAGTGACAATATGATCATGCTACTTACACATTACAAGGCAGGGTTTAGACTGTTATTGGTTGTGACAAAACTAAACTTAAGGGGAACATTCTTTGAGTGCCCCAAATTCACTTAAAGGAACAAATTAAAAGCTAACAAAATCCTTTAAATACATAAGCATTGATTCAGCATTTTAGCCCATAATCCCACCTTAAACTGCAAACAAAAATGCAGTTAACATGTCGTGCCACAGGCTGGTTACAATAATTAGACATTGGGTTGTTGTAATAAATGGGCCAGTATATCTCACCATGTGTATCACACTACAATCCCTAAAAACATTCATCCAAGATAGTACAAGAGACAATGCAGTGCTAAACATTCTACAAGACATCAACGCAAAATGACTAAATTTGCCCATCTGAAGAGAAAATTCTTACAGCCCCACAAACATTCACACATTTGCGATGTATCGGGCAGGAATAGCCTGAAAACGCATGGTAATTTATAAACGCTCTGTCTGTAAGAAAATTACAGGTGGGTAGAAAAAACAGATAAAGAGAGAGAAAGAGTACAGAAAAGCATGATGCCCTCAACAGGCTCACATGAGTATTCAAAACAAATCCATATACTGACCTACCTTCACTGGCAAATAATTTTACAAATAATTAGAATAATTACTAAATAAAATCACAGAATAAACAAAAGTTAGCCAAGCTTCCTTTATGTATTTGGTGTACAATTTTAAGGTGCAAAAAATCACAATAATTTGTATCTAGAAACATAAAATCAAAAGATGTACATTTTATTTGAATGAAACAAATAAGTACACCTGACCACAAGTGTCACCTCTTTGCACGACAAACAAAATAAAGATGACTGGAATTAACACAAAACAATAAATTATAAAGGGAATTTGGTGGACAGTGAAGGTAGGACAATTGTTGCAATGCAATTAGCGTTACAACATTTGAAAGAACAAATAATACATTCGAAAAAATCAAACATACATCAAGTAAATAAAATGCACTACTGTGGGTCGTTCTAAAGCCCTTATACAGAAGTTGTAATTCCCGTAAAGATGATTTGAATGAGCAGGGCTTCTCTAAATTGGCATTTGTGTTTAAAATCACACCACACGTACTTCCTGGTGTGAAAATAAAATGGTGACTGGATTGCCAAAGTAATTTATCAAAGGAAGCTATGAGTGAACAACCAGCACAGACAGTACATATGGAGACGCAAGATCATGCAACCATATTCTCCGATATGATAGGCACTGTGACAGAAGCCTCGGCTTGACCAGTGGACCTAACCCTTTCACGCTCTTCAATCATCTTTATCTCATCTTCAGTTGCCATGATCATCAGGTCACAACCAGCTTCGGAAAGGAGCTCACGCTTACGAGCAGCCAGCTGCAGTTCAGCCAAATCTGCTTTGGCCCTTGCTTCACGCAGGGCTTCACGAGCCAATTCAAGTTTCAGGCGCACAGCCTCTGCTTCCACACGAGCTATCTCGCAACGCACCTAGAGTGATAAGACACAGAATTATGTCTAACATACAATTACAGAATTTTTTAACAATCCGTTGTATATGCCGTAGAAATAAGAATACCTTGGCAGTGTCAGCCTGAGCTGTGCGCTCACGCAGCCCCTGACGAGCAGCAGCTAAATTCAGATGGTGAAGCTCCTGGGCATGGCGGATCATCTGGCGCTGGCGCTCAGCACGGGAGTCCAGAGAAACCATTTCGACGTCAGCTTCAGCAACTCCGATCACACTAGCAGGCATCACGATGAACCTGAAGATAAAAAGGGTTGAAGTAATACATTAGTGACACCACAAAAAACCAACATTGTTTGTGTTTTTTTTTTTCAAGCCTGCCCCTTTCTAACCCTCTCAAAGGTATATACACTTATTATTTAATATCAGTACTATAAGAAAACCATCAAAGTGCATAGCACGGCCTCATTTTACGGAAATCTATCTGGATTACAGTTGAAAATGTCACCATCACATCAGTGGAGAGCTGCGGGGGAGTACCGCGATCCTAGCGCGGCCGGATAAAAACATTGAGCCTAGCAGAAAGCCAGTGGAGGCGGTCGACCTTTCGAGGCGGAAAGCCTCCGTCTAAGAACTCGCGGAGACGATTATTTACATACGGCGACGGTATCGCTCGAAAAGCGGCGCCCAAATTCAAGAAAAGTGATTCAGAAAGGACTAAATTCGGTTTAATTTCAACGATGAAGCGTAGGAGGCTTCATAAGGCTTGACCGCAGACCACATACAACAGACCAAAATCAATGAGCTATCATTCATTGCAACCATTCCTGGTATTCCCTCCGTTACATTAGAACACTGGCAATTCCGAATTAAGCGGGTTTTCATACCTGAATCGAAGGGGAATACCGTAAACGGCGTCCAAATTCGAACGAGGAAAATTTTTCTTGCGGCAACAGAGGGCTATGTTACTTACAGTGTTGCCAAGTAAACTCGCTTCACGAAGCTACCACCAGAGTGCGCTACAGTCACTTTTCGTAGTGTTGTTTTTGTTGTTGTTGTTGGAGTGGGAGTCTTCTGTCCTGCTGTTGTGTTTACATCGTAATTTAAATTGTCTCGTCGTTGACAGGAGGCATAACTTGACGGAATGGCGTGCCAGTTTAAGCCATATGCTGTGGTGGACGTGGAGACATTGAAGCAGAATTTAAATGCCGACGAACACAGTGGTATGTAACCAAGTGGTGCTCGAATAACCTCGGTCATCAGCTGTTCTCTTTGCCTGACAAAGGCTTATTGTAGTTCCGAGGGCTCGGTTGGGTTTTACTTCGTTTATCACGATGTGCACTTGAAATTGATATCTCTTTCGACACCAACGGAATCGAATGAAATACTTTCCATGTTACCTTTTTCCGCAATGCAGAAATTATCTTTAGCAAACGTACATGTCTAACTTACGACTCACACATTTTAACATTTACAGGTATACGATACAATGATTCCAGTGGGTCTAGAACAATGGCCGAAGACTTCCCCATCCTGGACAACTGTAAAGTGTCCTTGTCCCCAAGTGGCGAGTTTTTTGTACTATCGCACAAAAGAACACTCTGTATTTTGACAGGTAAAGATTTTTCTGTTTGTGATTCGAATCGTCCTCTTGATATGTTTGCGACATAATTTTTTATTCTTACGTAATTTGGCTGCATTGGTTTGCAGCTAAATGGGACTCACATGAAGAGGATGATGTTAAAACAAAGTTTAAAGTCACCTGGAAGGGTGACCCTTGTCACAATGAAAGGTAATTCGGTGTTTTCATACTATGTATGTTTCAGGAGTTGTGCACTGATGATGATTGGCTTATGAATAATAATTGCCTTTGGTATTTCATTTTAGTGAAGAAATTACTGCAGTTATGTGTCTTCCCCTCATCATGCCAAATAAACCATCTCGGTCAGCTTCAGAGCAGATTGATTGGACATGCATTGTTGTTGGCTTTAGTTCTGGATTCCTACGGTTTTATGATGAGGTAATTGATAAAAAAATCATCTATGATAATCACTTTAAATTTGAATGGTTAATTTGTGAGAAATGTTTTAGGGAGGTGATCTTCTGCTTTCTGAGCAAATCTATGATGAACCATTAATTCATCTCAAGTGTCAGAGCTTTCATCCATCAAAAACTTCGACTTTCGATGACTATCCTGAAGAGCTTTATGCCACATTCCGCTCAACAGTAGCAGTCATTCCAGGTTTTGCATTATTTCAAACACTACGTGCTTGCAGAAATCAACTAGCAAGAGGTATGTTTTGAATTTAAACACCTTTTCCTAATTTTTTTTTATTGTACATTATGCTTTGATTTTGGTATTAATGTTTTGTTTCTCCAGTGAAAGCAAATTTTGCTGAGCATGTAGCACCTCCTCCGCTCACCCTGAAGAAGTGGTCTTTTGTGGACCAAGACAGAATGAGAGATTGTGAAGTCATTGGACCATCGTCATCAGATATGTTTGACCATTTGATGACAGCGTCCATCTGTGGAGGTTTCAATTCATGCTACCGTTCAGGTGCCCCAAAGTCAACCCTTGTGGTAAGTGGTTTACACGAATGCTTTGCTGAACAAATTAGATGTGTGACTTTGATAACATCTTAAACACAGGTGGCTGCGGGGAAAGGTCCTTTTATCGGTTTTCAGTATGCTTTGGAAGGTGTTGAAGGGAGATCAGTCTTAACAGATGTTGCTCAGGTTGTCAAAAGCAAGTTTAAGTATGTATCTTTCTAAACATTATCTTTTCCCTCCTGTTTGTTCATCAAAACATCTTCATACTTACTCTCTTCTGCAGGGGTCTGTTTGGGTCCAGGAGCAATGATCGACAGAAAAGCACTGCTATTGAACCTCCAGAGTCTCTTGCTTGCAGGTAAAACATGACCTTCATGATTCCAGTTTAGTGTATTTACCCAGTTTAAAATCAAAATCTTAATTTTACTATGTAGATTTGGTTTATGTGACTTCAACCGAGAAGCAGACAAAATTGTTCGATCACCCAACCGGGAATACTCTGCAGTGACTGATGCTTTAGGCAGAGTGACTCTTGTAAATAATATAAGAGGCATTGCTGTCCGTATGTGGAAGGGTAAGTATTCTTCCACTTACTAGATTGTAAAAATCTTTTTATATAATATCAGTTTTTTATTAGAGTGCAAATTATATCAATATTTTAGGGTACCGTAAAGCTCAATGTGGCTGGCTTCAGATAGAAGAGGAAGAGCCATCCAGTAAAAAGAGTCCAAAGCATCTTCTTCGTAGTGTTCTTTTCCTTGTCATATATGATCCCAAAAAGGGTGTGCTTGAGGTGTGGACTGTTCCGAATGGTATTCGAGTAGCTGCTTTTTCCTGCAGTAAAAAAGGAAGACTTCTGTACACTAGTCATGGACTTGTTGGTTTAAGTAATGTGGCTGTGAAATGGGCTAATAGGAGCCTGCTACCGTGTGTCTTTCTGGATCCCTGTGGCACTCTGTTCCAAGTCATTGTCCCTTTCCACTGTGCATTAAGGTAAGGCTTTCTTCCCTATAAAATGTTTTTCTTAACTTTAATTTTAATGTGGGTGCTTTCTGTTCTGTGGAAGCTAACTCTTACATTTTCACTGTACAGTGATGCCACAAGTGAGAGAGCTGCAGATCTCGCTCTCTTGAGGAAACTTAAAACTGTTTTAAGAGAGACTGAACTAGATGAGGAACAGCTTGCCCAAGAAGTTGGTCTCTTAGCAGCAGAATTAAAAACAGCAGAAGTTCGTAAGCAGATGTTAGCACTGTTGACTTCCAGCAGACATGTCACTGTTGATGCTCTCGAAGGAGCCCTTGGTGTATTCTTTGATAGAGCCTCAAGTGATGGTGTGTATTCAGAAAATTTTAAAAATGGGATCATAATTTTTTTTGTTAAAGTATAAATATTTATTTAAATTCTTTACTGTACCAGATTCAAGGTCATCAGATGGAAGCAGGCAAATTCTTCTTCTCTCCATTCAGCAACTAAGGAACCTTATTTCCTTCTATAAATTTGTGCACCAACAAAAAGAGAGGCCTCCAAATTATTCTGCAGTGGTTCCTCAAGAGGGAGTATCTGATTTAAAGGTAAAATTGTTTCACTTTCCTCAGTGGCAATGTTTCCTATTATGTGTATAAACGTGTGGTTTTACACACCAATTTTGACATTTTCAGGCTGTTTGTGATGTGTTGTCTGTATCTGAACGAGAAGTAACTGCTATGAAGTCACTTATGGCTCTGCTGGATTCTTATGTTAGTTCCCATAGTTCTCCTAAGCGTGAAGCTCGTGTAACTTTTACTGAACGCACTTCTAGTGGTTCCTCTCTAGTGGATTTCTTGGCATGCTTCGACTTTGGCAAGACTTGTAAAGGAACTGTCGCTCCTCATGCTGTGGGTATAAAGAAACAGCTAGTTCCCGCTAAAGTAACTTCACTTGGTGAGTGGTTTCAATGTTTCATAAAGAACTGAAAAAAAAAGGCAAAATGATGTATAATAATGTTTATTTTTCTTTGCTGTCCAGCTGACCTTCTGTTCCAAGGTATTCTCTACAGTGATATTCCCACAGAAGTCTGGCAGACTGAAGCTGCCTGCAGTGCCATTTTGCCATCCAATCTGCTCCATTTAGCAGTTCAGTTTTGGCTCCATCGAAATGTTGGTAAAGCTTTAGAAGTTGAAATGATTCGCTTTTCAGAAGTTGTCAAGGCCATATGCTTGATGGAAGGTAAAAATAAATTTCATTAAAAAATAAAACCAAACAAACTGGCTCTCTGAAAATATCTAAGAGTTGTATTTTTTAAATTTCCAATTTTTTTTTTTTTTTTCAGAGGTGAACACCTGTGATTTGTCCACACTTTGGTCTATGGTGAGAGTAATGCTTGCTGAATCTGACCACCCATTCAATGCTTTGACTGCAGCACTTGTCTGTCGAGCTGTTGCTGTATCTTTGGAAAAACATGGTTTAAAAAAAGTACTGTGCATCTCATAACTCCAATGTTCTATTTAATTAAATTCAATATTAGTTATAAAAATAAGCTATGCGTTTTTGCAGCATTCGAAGTCTCCTAAGAAGTCAGAAATTAGTGGTGACACATCTAAGGATTCAGATATGTCTGAAGGGACCAGCAGTGCTGACACTTCTAAGGATTCAAGCTCTAAAGCTGAGTCTCGTAAAAGCTCAACTGAGTGGGAAGATGTGTCTTGGGACTCTGTCAAATGGAACTTGTTGATAGGTCGTCTTGAGGATATTGCTTTACTTGACCTAATTGTCGGTCAAAACCCAGCTGACTTGTGCGATCTCACTGAAAATAATGCTGTTCCTTGTTTGCGTTATGAAAAACCAAACATTTCCTTGCATCGAATACTTCACAAAGGAAAAGGTGAACTAAATTGACATCCTTGATAATTTTTGATTTGCTGATTACACTTCAACAGAATTGTACCCGCATGGTTTTTGTTTACAGGTGCTATATCAGAACAGGTCGCAAAGTGGTTAACGAGCTGCGGTGTTGATCCTAAACTTTTAATTGACAGTTCGGATATTGAACGATCTGATAAGAATGTGGGTTTGGTTAATCGTAGCCTAACAATGGACGAAGATGAATCTGGCCTTGAAGACAAGTCAGAAGCCCAAATCCGTGAAGGCTTACCTCTTACTGCAGAGAAAGGAATAGAGGCTACGTCTGTATCTGCCCCATATTCACAAATCCTGGAAAAGATTTGCTTATTACGAAAGCGATTCCCATACAGTCTTTGTGGAAGTGCTCTCATAGCTAATGTCAGCTGGGAGCTTCTCCTAGAATGGCACAAATGTCCTGAACGTATCGACATTTTAAATGCAGTTGTTCAATGCTTGCAAATGATCCCTAACATACATATTCGCCAAGGTATCCAAACCGTGTTTATAATATATTATCAGAGAAAAGCGGCTGTTAGGTAAGATGTGTAATTCTTTTTATGTTTTAGGGCTGAGTTCAATCATGTGGACTTCTCACCTTAAACAGCGAATTGAGACTGCTGCAAAAATTGTTTGTGATACTCATGGAAATCCAAAGGAAAAATTGTGTCGCAAAGAACTTCAAATGTCTGAAAGTCAGCTGACTGACTTTGTTGAGTCGTGCTTGAAGTTTATTGAGTCATTTATTGAGGTAATTACACCTCATGTTGCATCAAATTTCTTCTCATAACTGAAGAGGATATAATCATTAAATGATCTTCTGTGACAGGCTTCAAACTTGAGTGAAGTTATGCATCCTCCTGGATCTGGATCAGTTGTGAATCGTTGTGAAGACATCTGGGATTATGATGAACAGATTTCTTTGACAAGTACTCCATCTTTGACTGCTTTAGCCTTGGTCCAGCCTCAAGCATCCTTTGACCACCTTCACCTTTTACACCAACTCACTGCTACCATGCACATGATACTGGCTCTTGGCTTAAGGGGACAGCAGCTGACACCCATTTTTAGTCCAGTGGTTTGTCTCTCATTTTGTCCCCTCTCTAAATCCGTTTTGCCAACTTTGTGGCATCTGTATAAAATGGTATTTTACAGGAATGGGGCATATTTTTCTCGGATGGTACATATACTGCAACCAAGGATACACAGGTGGTGCCTGAACCACAACTGTGCAATAAACGAGCTCAGTTTCTCATCCGTGCTGTGACAGGTGCCCTCCAGGGTATGCTGGCTTCGGACCCATCACATGTAACTGCTTTAGTAAGTCAATTTTTACTCAATTATTATTATTATTATTACTGTTTAGAAACTTCTTAAGACTTCACCAATACTTCACAACTCTTCTAATAATACACAATCTGTACTCACTACAGAGTGAAGGACCTTGTTCTGACATGAGCACAGCCATGAAGTGGATGGGGAAATGTAAAGACTTGGCCTATACATGGCAACTTCCCATGGATCCCATTCGTCGACACCAAGTGTTTTTACTTTATTCCTCTGGGCATGATCGACTTGCTGAAGAGGTACGAGTTTGCTCAGCTATTATAATTGATTTGGTCTACTTTTTCTCTTGCGTTACTTTAAAATTTGGAATTTTCTTGTTCCAGGTGATGCCCTCTGTAAACGATGTAGAGTTACTAGCTAGCCAGCTTCTACCACTTTGTGGCCAGCGTCTTAAGCTTATACTGGATGGTTCTGGGGATCTAATGGATTCTATTTCAAACCTTGACCCTACCTTGACAATTTGGCTGTATGAATTGGTCAGTTTGAAGAAGAAAAATGCTAACAATTATGCCTTTTATTTGAAGAGGTTTCAATGCTTTTTTTCTGTTTTGTTTTCTTTCAGAATACTACTGGCGTTAGACAAGTCTCTCTGGCAGATACTGCTTTACTTGCAGCTCATGTAGCCCAGTATCTTCCTGAAGACCATCCTGAGGCTCCCTTAGCAACTGATTTGTGTGAAGCCCTTCAGGCACTGTCTTAATCTATTTCAGGGTTGTTGATTTGCTTGTGACTTTTTTTCTCTGATTCATTTTAAGTCAAATTAAGAACAACTTTGTCATTTATTTATTTCTTATTGTTTTTGATTACCCATATGTTTTGGATTTGGTTTGCTATGGCATAGTTATTTTGTTGCTCAGTTTATCTATCATGCCAGATTTTTGAACTGCAAGTTCTCGACATGCATTATGCTCCAATATCCATAGCACCATCATTAGTTGTTTTCCTGGAATCAGCATGTTTTAGATGTGTGCTTGAGTGATTGTATGATACACAACATTTTTGTTGTTTCATCGTAAACTAATGAATGTTTTTATCATTTTTATGTTGAAGTTCTTTGTTGAGAATATTTCATAGCCCCGTTTTTCGTTTTGTTTCTCGACATATTTGCAGATGTTTCCCTTCATTTATGTGCTCACTGTCTGTGATCATTATTGTTACAATTTTAATTACTCCTAAGTATAAAGAATCAATTTAAAATAAAGATATCTAGTTTATCTTGTATTCAAATTTTTAGTCCTTATTTCAGGGGCGCCAACGCGTTCGAATTTCAGGCGGAGCAAGAAGCGGCGCTCTGCCGCGTGGGTTGCCTACCTTTAGGCGTAATCACTCTTGGATTGATCGCGCCACTTAGTGTCGCGGAGGGGATGGCTGACAGGGGAAAGGCGTCGGTCCGAATCAAATATCCCTGGATTCGATTCCCCAGGTTGCCTTTTTCATGGCCACTACTTCCTTCTAAATTCTTCATCCCTATTGTTTGTTGCACCGCGCCGGGAAGGTAGGCCACCCCTTTGGCTCGTCACAGGGAAGACGTGCAAAACAAGACAACAGAGAATTGTCACTCCTGGGAGTTGATCCCAAGTTCTTTATGAGGCCGGCCACTACCCTTGCGCTCTCGCGGATTTGTATGGCATGAATGCACGGGAGAATAAGATTAAACTTCATAAAAACATGAATGTTTTCAAATAAACGTATAGCTATATTTTCCTCTAGTTAATCAGCAACAAAAAATATAAATCTGCCGTCATTGTCATCATCCGGGTAGAATCCTGCCCATTTTAAGGACTTACAACTTATTGGGTGATCAAGCTCAATGTGTTACACTTGTGTTGAGACGCACAACTTTTCTTTGCACCAATTCGGTCTCCAAACCTTATGCTGAACAGATGTCAAAGAAACATACAGATTCTTTTTCCTTTTTTTCTTTTAATATGAGACCCTGTATAATAGTTGGCTCTTTCAGTCAGAGGAAAGCATAAAAAAAGACAGAAAATCTGCTGGTCTTGTGGATTAGCCAACAAAATGGGGAATGATGGCTATATCTTAAATATCTCCAAACAAAAAAAAATAAAAATAATCAAAATTTACAGTATTAAAACAAAGTGTTACAATCTTCTAACTATTATTTCTTTTTAATATAAACAATACAGACAAGTAGGATAATCTTTGTGAATTCACATTTGACAGATCAATAAATTCCACATATCACTGGAGTACTTTGACATGATCTTGCTCTTACCATATTTACATATTATTCTACATTTAAATATTTATATTTGTACATAAAAACACACACTCACTTTAGTTTATGTTTGAATCTTACAGAGACTTTCTAAAAAGAAAAAGGAAACAGCCATTCGGTATCTTTGTCAGTGCTGCTTGGCTGCATGGCTTTAGCGAACACATATCACATTCATGGAAGGTGTGGCCTGGCTGCACCAAAGGAGAATTTGTATGGCTTAGACCCACACCTGCACTAAGGGAAGTAAATCCATGACACAATAAATTTCTTGATGATTTCAAAGTTCTCTCGCCCTCCATAGTGGTCATTCACTATGTAAAACTACACTAAATCATAAAAATTTCTCATCATAAGAAACCCATGTCTAGAGCGTTGAATAAAGCTATTGTGTCACTGTGACTTGATATCCTCCAGAAAGGAAAATTCATCTGAAAACGAAATGCACAGCATATAGAACAAGAATATTTTTCAGTCTACTCTGAGTTGCTTCAAAACCACTCTGAACCACTCTGAACCAATCTGATGGTGGCTTTTAATACCTTTTTGGCAGCATCCTCTTCATCAGATCCATCTCCCACCACAACATAAGTGCATTTTCTTCCAAACCGAGCAACAATTCGCTCAAAGCAACATTCTTTGCCTGCAAAAATTTCCTAGAGATAGTTAGCAATTTTATTGGCATCAAATTCTGATTTTTAAATTTGGAGTGCACTCACCAATTTTTGTAGCAGAATAAATATTTTCGATAGGAAACATGCCACCAAGGCCATACAACAACACTTTGGCAAGCGCAGGAACTAGTTGGGTTGTTGTTACAAGGACGTTGACACAGTTAGGTCTAGAAAAATTGAGAAAGGAAAATTATAATCACTCACAACACTTTGAACACGACTGTACAAACAGAACTATCTGAAAGCCGCACCTGCTGTTGATTAGTGACAAACATTTTAATGCGAGAGATAACCAATTATCTGTGACAGCTTCAATTTCTGTCCGAAGCTGAAGCCATTCTTCCCTCTTGGTATTCCCTAACAAACCTGCAACACGATTTACAATCATTAGCCTCCTCGCACCTCAGGTAAAATTATTGAAAAAGTTAAAGAAACAGTCAACAACAAAAGAAAGAGAAAGGGAAAGGTAAAAGAGAATTGTTAAAAATAAAAACAGGTAAGAAAACAGTTGAAGAAGCGGCCCACCTCCGACGGCGTTTCTGTAGTTGTTGTACACGTCCTTGATCTTCCGGTACCGGAATGCGAGTTTCCGCATCCAGTCCACGCCGCCCCGGACGCCGCCGCCGATGGGCAGCCCCCCTGGGCCCAGCGGCGTGCCCGGGGGAGCGCCCCCCAGCGCCGCGGTCGCCACGCCGCCGGCGTCCACTTGGAAGCCGTCGGTGCGGAAGTTGTACCCGTTGAGATCCTGGCCGTTGTCGTCCGAGGACACGTCGTCGACGTGGACCTGGTCGCAGAACTGGAAAAGAAAGAGAAAGAGAGCGACGTGAAGTTGGCGGAACAGGCGAATGGGGAAGTCCCAGGAAAAGGACAGTGGGCCAGACGACCGGTGGAGGCGGCCGAAATTCTAGACGCGTTTTGAGTTCCAATAGGTCTCAAACAGAGCGTGTGACCCTGCCAATGGATTGCTCTCCGAACGAGGAATCCATTGGTGGGGTCACACGTTCGGTTCGAGTCCCATTTCACGACTCTGGAGCTCAAAACGCCTGACGCCTGCCACGCGTACCTCGAGATCATTGAAAAAGAAGTGTATGTCCGCGAGGTTGAAGATCATCTCCTCCATGCGGACGCCCAGCTCCTTCAGGGAGGGCAGGTCCTTGCCGTACTGCGCGCCGTAGTCGCCCGTCAGGAGCGTGTGGAAGATGATGATGGTCTCGTCCAGGTCCCAGATGAACACTCGCTCCAGCTGCGTCTCCGACGCGGGGGGCGAAGGGTTGTGCCTCCTCCCTCTACCTCGAGAGCTCCTCGAACCTGCGACATTTAAGTCAGAAATGAAGGCCTTGGCTGGCGGCGTAGTTCGAACCCGGGCCCCCGGCGTTGCACTTACCCTCGGACCCAGAGTTGTCCCTTCTCCTGGCCGTGCCGTTGGCGGGCTCTGCCTTGACCGGGGACGACGGCCCCGCTTCCGGTAGCAGAAACCCTGGCGAATCTGCCACGAACAAAAAGTTAATCTAGAAAACAGAAAATCGCCTCGGGAAGGCAGTGGGATTCGAACCCGCGGAAGTACCTGGCAGTGCGTTGATGGAGGCGGCCAGCTGGTATGGCGACCCGGACACCGCGGACGACGGGCTGCCCACGTAGGGCGAGTAGGACTGGGCGGCGTAGTAGGAGGCCGCGTACTGCGAGGCGGTCTGCGCAGCACCGTACGGCCCGCCGTACGACGAGTAGTCTAGGCCCTGGAAACAAGGAGCAGTGAGTTCGGCCTCGGCCGCCTCATTTCGAAGGATCGTTTCGTCTCTCCCGTCCCGTGCCCCAGCGACACATAGTGGGCCAGAAGACCGGTGGAGGCGGTCAAAACTCTAGATGCGTTTTGGGGTCAAGAGTCGCTGAACAGCACTCGAACCGAATGTGTGACCCCACCAATCGATTCCTTGTTAGGAGAGCAATCCATCGGTGGGATCCCACGTTCGGTTTGAGCGACTTTGGAGCTCATAACGCATCCGGGATTTTGACCGCCTGCACCGGTCTTTTGGCAACTGTGCGGAGCTTGTTGACGCCGTTCGGGGTGTCGCACTGACCGCGACCACCATGGCGACGTCGGCGCGGGGGACGTGAGGCGCTGGTCCCGACAAGGACGCCCTGGAGCACTGCGACGGGGCCGGTGGCGGTCGACGTACTGCCTGGGTCGCGCGACGCGCCCCGTGCACTTCCTCCGAGTGGAGTCCGTCAGCTCGTTTGCCGCCCAGCGATTCCGCACGGCGTTCCGTCACTCCGTCTCTCTCGCACCCCTGGGGGACGCCCCATGAGTGCGAGCGAGACAGAGCGACGCCGTTCGGCAACAGCCTGCCGCTGATCGCGCTGACGGGGCAGGCGGCGTCGGCAGCGGCGTAGCACCGCCGCCAAGCGGTTGAGGCTGACTCACCCTCACCCACCCAAAGTCTTACAGTGCACTAGAACCGCAGGCCGACTCACCTGCTGCGGAGAGAATCCCTGCGCGGACGAGGAGAAGCCCGGGCCGCAGTTGTAGCTCGCGGCGTAGGCGGCGTAGGCGCTGGTGGGCGACTGCGCGCCGGGGGCGGTGGTGTGGGGCGCGCTGCCGCCGGCCCCGCCGCCCCCGCCGCCGTCCAGGCCACCGTACGCGGACGACGCCCCGCCGCTGCCCGAGCCCGTGCTCGACGCCCCGGAGCCGGTGGCGTAGTTGAGGTAGCTGCCCGCACTGCCGTTGGTGGCTGCGGCAGAGGTGGCAGAGGCAGGGGATTTACTATACAGGCCTGGAAAAAACAAGCGGGCGGGGACGAGCGCGTTAGGGCGGAGGCGGTGCAGAGTGGATGGTGCAGAAGCAAGAAGCAGGAGGCAGTGTGCCAGTGCGGGAGCGTCGGTAGTCAGCGCACAGTACGCACAGTAGGCCAGGAGGCGGCCAAAATTTTCGACGCATTTTCGAGCTTCTAAGTCGCTGTACTCGAACCAAACGTGTGACCCCACCAATGGATTGCTCTTGGAACGAAGAATCCATTGGTGGGGTCACACGTTCTGTTTGAGACCCATTCAGCAACTCTAGAGCTCAAAACGCGTCTAGAAATGTGGCCGCCTCCATCGGTCTTCTGGCCCATGTGCAGCGCCAGCCACGCGCGCCCGAGGGTAGGCCACCCAACGCACTCACCTGGGAGGTTGTAGCCCGGGTAGGCTTGCGAGTTATAGAAGCCGGAGTTGATGTAGGGCTGGCTCTGGCCGCCGTACGCCTGTTGCATGCTGCGGGCAGAAAGATACACGCACTGAGTCCGTGGCGGCGGGAGGATTTGGCGGGAAATCGAACCGGTGCCCTTCGTCGCTCCGTCTCTCTCGCACTTACGGGGCGTCCCGTAGGGCTGCGAGAGAGACGGAGGGCTGGCGCGGCAGAGTGAAAGCGCTCACCTGGAGTAGTACTGCGACGAGTAGGAGGCCGCTTGCGAGTATTCCGCGTCCGCTGAAACATACAGGGCCGCCTGGTCAGCGTGCGGGCCGGAGTGGCCGGAGGGCGGAACGCTGTTGACGGCCGCCCCCGAGGAGTCGCCGCCCCCGGCCCCGCCCCCGCCCGCCCCCGCCGAGCAGGCGGACGGGCCCTCCCCGCCCCCAGGGCTGTGCACCTCGCTCTTGACACCTGCGTCACGGAGTCAAGGATCGAGGTTAGGTTAGTCGGTTAGGCACTCGCCCGGCATGCCCTCAGTTTAGCGGAAATTAATGGAAACTGGATGAGCATCGAAAAGGCACCACAGACCGCCGCAGGCCACATGCACGCAGACCAGGTTAGGCGTTACGGCAGCAAGCGCGGACCGAGAGACGGGCAAAGGGCCTTGGCTTCTAAATAGCCGACTGAAAGGTAGGCCGAACACAACACTTTGCCCTTGCAAGTAGGCATTTAGTGCTACATACTTTGCCCCCTCTCAGGCCGGCTCTGGATCAGCCACTGCACAGTGGGCAAGAGCGGTGGAGGCTGTCCAAATCCCGGAGGCGTTTTGAGCTCCAGAGTCGCTGGGACCGGGACTCGAACCGAACGTGTGACCCCACCAATGGATTGCTCTCCGAACGAGGAATCAATTAATGGGGTCACACGTTCAGTTCGAGTCCTGTTTAGCGACCCTGGAGCTCAAAACGCGTCTTGAGTTTTGACCGCCTCCACCGGACCCACTGAGCACTGTTGCGGCATGCTTCAAGGGTAGGCCCGCATGCTCGCCGTCAAGACACTCACCCGCGTCTACGCCCGGGCTGGAGCTGTGGCCGCCCTGAGGGCCTCCGCCTCCACTGGCGGGCGCCGTGAGCTGGCCGTGGCCCGTCCACGCGTCCGTGGCCGAGGCCGCCACCGCGGCGGTGTGGCCCGCGGGGCCGGCGGGGCCGGAGTGCGGGGGCCCAGACCCGCCGCCGCCGCCCCTGCCGCCACTGCTGCTGCCGTGCTGGCCGTGGAGGGCCAAGACGCCGGGGCTGCCGTTCACCAAACCTGCGGCAGAGGAGGGAAATGAAATGCCGCTGTCTCTCTCGCACTCCTGGGACGTCCTACATCCGTGGCCTTCGTGGCAGTCGTTAGACTGCTGTCGCCGGCTGGCCGAGGCCGCGAGGGTGGCCGTCGACTGTCCATGAGTTCAAGTTCAAAGCTAGGGGTTCCAACTCGCAGCCCTGGGTTGGCTGTGCGCTTGCCCGTGGCCTTACCGGGGGCGCTGTTGCTGCTGCGCTGCGAACGCTGTCCTGGCGGTCCTGGAGGCCCTGGAGGCCCTGGAGGCCCTGGCGGGGACCCGCACGACGAGTCGCCGGCACTCTCCGGCGAGGACGCGTCCAGGCACCTGAAACAATGTCCAACGCAAACATGAGGAGTAGGCACGCTGCGCCGCGCCCCGCACCACAGGCCAAGCCACCCGGCCGTTATTGTTCCAAGTTGTCTCTCCAAACACGCTCAGCCTCAGCCGGCAGGGTCGCTGTCTCCCTCGCACCCCTACGGCACGCCGGGCACGCCGGGTACGCCCCGCGAGTGCGACAGAGACAGAGCGACGAAACGACTATTTGGCGTGCCTCAGGACGACGCGCATGTGCAAGTCCGGGTCACAGACCCCTGCCGCTTCCGGCGGGGGCGGCCGGCCAGCGGAGCGATTCAGAGTCGTTCCGTCGCTCTGTCTCTGTCGCACTCATGGGGCTCTCCATGTGGGTGCGAGAGAGACAGAGTTCTGAACCGCCCGGCTGGCCTCGTCCGTCCGAGGTCGGCCTGTCGGCCTCGGTGAGGCCTTGGGGGCGTCGGGGCCTTGACGACGGCCCGGCCACGCCCACACCAGCCACAGGCCGTGCCACAGGCAGTGCCACCGTGCAACAAGCCGAATCCGAACACCGCTTTCGTCGCTGTCTCTCTCGCACTCGTGGGGCGGCCCGTACGGTTCGAGGGAGAGTCTGAGCGATCCGGCACTGTTCGGAATCAGCCTGCAGCCCCCATTCCATTCATTCGTTCCGACTCCACTTGCGTCGCCAGAAATGCGAGGGAATCCCGGAAGGACATGATTTGCTCCTACACGGCAAACTGTGGCGTTGCCAGCACACTGATTCCGAGAGTCGTTTCCGACGCTCTGTCTCTATCGCACCTCTACGGCCTATGAGTGCGAGGGAGACAGAGTGACGAAAGCGACTCTCGGAATCAGTCTGCAGGTCGCCGCCGATTGGCTGCCAAGGCGTCGCCTGCAGGCTGACGGCGCTTTCATCGCGCTGTCTCTCTCGCACTCATGGTGCGTCCCGTGAGGGTGCGAGAGAGACAGATCGACGAAAGCACTGCTCGGAATGAGTCCGCCGGAGATAAGGGCCTTATCTGCGGCCAATCGCAGCGCGGAGCGACAGGGAGCGAGGAGCGAGGCGGTGACGAGGAGCAGTAAGGGCCGGCGGGGCGGCATGGCGCCGAACCGGACCCTTCATACAGTGCCGCGGCGTCTGTGTTTGCCAGTGTGTGCGTGCGTGTGCGTGTTTGACGGGGCGGTGTGGCCTAATGGACAGCGTGTTTTGTCTCGGCTCCATCGGCGGGGCCCGTATCCCGATTCCGATGGGTCGTTTGGCCGCTCCGTCTCTCTCGCACCGCTAGGGGACGCCCCGTGAGTGCGAGAGAGACAGAGCGCCTTCGGCATGGGGCGGCCGCCAAGGCCGGAACGGCAAACAGAGACAAAGGACAAGAAGGGCGGCGCGGCGGCGGGCGGGAAAAGGCGCGCGACTCGGCGACGCTCTGTCTCTCTCGCACGCACCATTGCTCCGTGTGTGCGGGAGAGACAGAGAGAGAGGGTGACAACAACACGGACCGCGGCTCGGAATCGGCATGCAGTGGCGAGGTTGGCGGCGCTGGCGGCGCGGTGTGTGGCCGCGGTGCTGTTTCAGCGAGAGCGCCGCCGTGCCGCGCCGTGCCGCGCCGTGCCGTGCCGCGCCGTGACCCCGAATCGGAGCGACCGACCGTTGGCGTTTGCCGTTCGCGGAATTAGTTCCTCCACCACCGCACCGACACCCGGACTCATGCGGTCCGTAAGGGTGCGAGAGAGACAGAGCGACGGAACGGCGCCGCCGGCCGGAACAGCTCTGCAGGCTGATGCCCCACCGTGGCGCTGGCGCCGTCCCTCTCGCACTCAGTGGGCATCGAGAGAGACAGAACGACGAAAGGCTGCACGTCAAAACCGCGCACAGTGGGCCAGAAGCGGCCAGAAAACCGGTGGAGGTGGTCAAAATTCCGGACGCGTTTTGTGCTCTAGAGTCGCCAAATGGGACTCGAACCGAACCTGTGACCCCACCATTGGATTCCTCGTTCGGAGAGCAATCCATTGGACTGAGTCCCATTTGGCGACTCTGGAGCTCAAAACGCGTCCGGGATTTCGACCGCCTCCACCGGTCTTCTGGCCCACCGTGGACACGCGGGCGGACACTCACCTGCTTCTCGCTGACTGGTCCGCGTCTGGGTCCGAGAGCGGGCGCTTCACCTGTGGAACAGAGGGGCGCAATTATTAACAACAACAACAGTAGAACAACAAAAACATCATCATCATCACGAAGAACAAGAGCAGCAGCGGGGCGTAGGCGACACGTGGCGAGGAAAGGTCAAAGGGTGGAGCACACGTGCAGCCAGGTTGTTAGCACGGGAGAAAAACACACGGCAGGGTGGCGTCTCGCGGAGAGGGGAGGGGGGAGGAGGAAGAGGGGGGGGGGGGGGGGAGGGAAGAGGTTCGGAGGGAGGGTGCGGCGCGCCACCCCGTGCGCGACCCCCATTCGAAAGGAAAACAAGCACGGCGGCGGAAATTCTTCAAATAAAAAAAGGACAAACTCGCGTTGTTAAAAAGAAAGTGAAAATACGACAGTAGCGTGACCACATGTGGCGCCCAAATCGCTCCTGTCAAAACTGTGGCTTGGCGCAGGGCTTGCGCGCGGCGCGGGCGTTGGCGTTTTTGCCTCCGAGGTGTCTGTATAGACCGATTCCGAGAGTCGTTTTCGTCGCTCTGTCTCTCTCGCAGCTATACGGGACGCCCCATGAGTGCGAGAGGGACAGAGCGACGAAAACGACTCTCGGAATCAGTCTGCTGCCGGAGCCGTTAGGGGCGCAATGAGACGTGCAGGGGCAGAGGCCACCGCTCCGTGAAAGACGCAGTAAAAAAATAAAAACAACAATAACAACAACAACAAGAAACAGCGCCGTTTTCATTTTCGAAAAGATGTTCCTAAATTGTTTGGATAACGCAGATGCCGAGTGCACCACCCCCACACTGCGAAAGGCCGGGAAGCTTGCGGACAATTACGGCGCCGATTCGAGCGTAATGCGATTAAAGCCGGCAGTCGCTCCGTCTCTCTCGCACTGCCGCAGGGCCGTAGGGGTGCGAGAGAGACAGGAGGCGCCGTTCGGAACAGGCCTGGGTGGGAACAATGCGCCGCCGGCGGGCTGCGTTCAAAGTTCGAAGCGTTGGCGCTTGGAGGCGGCGTGCGTGGCGCAGCGTGGCGCGGCGTGGCGCCGGGCCAGCGAGCTGCGTCCGAAGGGGCCGCTCCCTCTCTCTCTTTCGCACCCCTGCCGGCTAAGGCGTCGGTGAGCGAGAGCGGCCACTTCGGACGCAGCCGCGCGGGCTTCAGCCCCGCTGCACCTCAAAGGTGCGCTTGCAGTGCACCGCGCACGCTGCAGCCGCTGCAGCCGTCCGTCGTGGGAACGCGGTGCATTAGAGGATGCGAGTTTGGCCCGCCGGATGGATGGATGGATGGATGGATAGGTGGATGAATCGGGGATGCAGGCGCCTGTAATGACGAAGAAGGGGAGGGGAGGGGGCTTCCGTTATGGCCCGTGTGACACACCGCAGCCAAACAAGGGCACCGTTTTCCACCCCCACCCCCAGGCACCTTGATTTTGAACAGTACTCGCTCCGTCTCCCTCGCGCCAATGACCTCACTATGAGTGTGTGAGAGAGTCGCCAACAGGCCAGGCAAGGGGTGAGTCCGCACTGGACTGCCTTCGGACGTCTAAGTCCAACCAGCGTTTCATCGCTCTCTCTCTCTCTCTCTCACGCACGCACGGGATGCCCCGTATAGGTGAGAGAGGGGCTCGGAATTCATCAGTCTGCAGGAGCCTCTGATTCGCAGAGGTCCTAGGTCACAAGTAACAAGCCCAAAGCCAGGCAGCGGCCCGCTGCTCCAGCGATAAATCGATAAATCCAACGCCCCCGGCCGGTCTCGAACCCGGGACCCGGGACGCGGGACGTCGCGCGGCTGCAGCGGGACGGAGCGGCCCGATGATGGACGACCGGTGAACCCGACACTGCACTACTACACTGTACACACTCACCGCGTGCAGCGCCGGCAGCGCCTGCTCCAGGAAGGCGTGCGGGGGAGCGCGCCGCCCTGGCCGGCCCGCCAGCCAGTAGGGCATCACCGTCACCATGGCGACCAGAAGGACTCGCGGACGGCGTCTCGGAGCACTCACTCTCACTCACTCGCTCACACACACACGCGCGCGCACACACGCAAATCCACTACAGTAATCCGTGTCAAACAACACGCGAGCGTCACGCCATGTCGCTCATCATCTTGGCACGAGTCCCTTCCTTCATCTCTCTCACACACGAGCACCGACACTCACACACACACACACACACACGCGCGCGCGCGTTGTTGTGGCCTCACGGAGGTTCCCTAGGTTCCCGGAGGTTCGCGGCACCACGAGCCTGGCCGTCTTGTCCTTGCCGAGGACCGCCGCGGCGCGGGCTGCGCGAGGAACTGAGAACTGAGAGGAGGGCGGCTGAGGCGTCTCGGAGGACGGCAGAGGGCTCGGCGCTCGGCTCCGTCGGGGAGGTTCGGGTCGAGCCGACGCCACGCAACACACTGGAAGACTGAACTGACTGAAGCAAGCGAAGCAAGGCCGCGGCAGGACTCAATGCCTGCCTGCCTGCCCGCCCGCCCGCCCGGCTGGCCCGGCAACGCGTGTGCGTGTGTGCACGTGTGTGTGGCGTGTACCATAGTGGCATGCCAGCGGGCGGTGTGTGTGTGTGTGTGTGTGTGTGTGTGTGTGTGTGAGCTCGTAGAAGTGCGTGTTTGTGTGAGCCCCCAGTGCGTGTGTGTGCGTAAGGCAAGAAAAAGGGCGGTTCGTACCGAGGGCGGCCTGAAGGAGAAGGTTCTATACTACTACGGTGTGCCTGCAGTGTCTCTTGTGCGTCGGAGGGTACGGCACAAAAAACAACGAAGAAGAAGAAAATAGAGGGAAAAGAAAAGCGGACTGTATGAAACGCGCCGGTTCTTCCAGAAATCGTCCCCTTCTCTCTCTCTTTCTTCCTCCCTCTCTCTACGCCGGCGTGCGGGTCCTAAACGCTCTCCCTTTTCCTCTTCCTCTCGTTGTGTCCTCTTCCTCCCACTCGTTTTAAAACGCGGCGCGCGAAAGCATTGAACCTGCTGACAGCAACGCGCCTGCTTATCGCGCATACCGCTCGCGTACGTGTGTGTGTGTGTGAGGCGTGTGTGTGTGTGCGTGTGCCCTGCATTGCTGTGTCGTAAGTCCACGAGTGCCCAGGCGCTGCCCAGGCGAGGCGCCATGTGACACTGCGAAATGTTATCAGCCGTCGTCTTGTCTGGCCGACGTCAGGACAGTGGCGGCAGTGGCGCACTCGTTCAGGCTCCGTGGCGGCGTGGCGGCGCACTGCCGCCTGCGTTCCGAGTACTGTACCCGCGTCGTTTAATAAACGATTTGAAATTTTCATTGGGCACTGTGAAAAAAGGGGAAAGTTGAATCGAATAAAACTATAAGTAAAAGTTGTCTTGCCTGATTCGGACGGAAATTCTACTCGATTTACCTTGACTTTGTTTTACAACGTAGTGGGATTTGATTTTCCCGCGTGGTCTTTTCCAGCGAGAGGCTTTGCATTGCGCGGCGGCCCCTCGCCGGCGGGGAACCCTGCGGGGAGTCCGGCCCCACCCCGCCCCGCCCCGCCCCGCCCCGCCCCGCCCTGCCCTGCCCCGCCCCGCCCCGCCCCGCCCCGCCCCGCCCGGGCTGCGGGACATGTGTTGGTGGCAGAGACAAAAGGACGAATGTCGTCCTAAGACGCGCAGTGCGTGTGTCTGCACTGCACTTGCCTGAAAAGGGGAATTGCTAATCAGCTTCCTGCCGCCTCGAAGCACGCGGCCTTCCGAATCGTTTCATCGCTCCGTCGCACTCGCGGATGGGTGCGAGAGAGACAGAGCGACGGAGTGACCCTTCCGGCCTTCGGGACGTCCACGGCTGCGGTCACGCGCAGTGGCGACCTGCCCGAAACAACACCGGCGTCGTCGCTCTCGGACTCTCGGACGGTCCCCCGAGCTGTCAGCTCGTCAGCTCGCATGTCAGTCAGCCGTCAATCGGCCTGTCAGCTCGGCCGTCGATCCGTCAGTCCGGGCTAAACGACGGCGTGCTCCAGTTCCCAGACATCCTCGACGCGGCGCCTCGGGATTCGGGCGGAAAGACCGCCGGTAGCGGCCGCACCGGAAGTGCGCCGATCTGCCAATAGCGTTCGGGGGGAGGGGGGGCGCCGTTCGCGGGGTAAGCAGTAGTAAGCAGCAGGGCGGGCAGAGAGTGACATCTCACTCCTGGCCGCACTGGCCGGGCTATCGCCTGATGAATGATGCAGTGCGGCCCTGTAGACTGATTCCGAGAGTCGTTTTCGTCGCTCTGTCTCTCTCGCACCTACACGGGATACCTCTTGAGCGCGAGAGATACACACACAGCGACCCAAAAGGGCTTTCGGAATCAGCCTGTTGTTGGCCCGGGGCTCCCCTCTGGCCCCTCTGGGGCTCTGCATGTTTCCAAACAGTAATGCTTTCGTTTGCCTGTCTCTCTCGCACTCATGGGGCAACTCGTAGGGGCGCGAGAGTGACGGAGCGCTGTTCGGAATCAGCCTGTCGGGCAGGGCGAGAGCTTTCAACTCCGTTTATAGTCCGCCAGCGCGGCGATAGCCCGGAGTCCCGGAGACGCCCGCGGAGCGCGGCGCGCGGTTACGTCCCGTCTCCGTCGCGCAGCAGACGGATTCCGAGAGTCGTTTCCGTCGCTCTATCTCACTCGCACACGCACGGGACGCCTCGCGAGTGCGAGAGGGACAGAGCGACGGAATGAGTGTGGGGCGGGCCCGGTGGGCAGGACGCCGCGGTGGGCGCGTGACCCGGTGGGCGGCGACCCGCAGACTGGTTCCGAGAGTCGTTTTCGTCGCTCTGTCTTTCTCGCACCTACGGGACGCCCCGCGAGTACGAGACAGAGCGACGGAAACGACTCTCGGAATGAGTCGGCTGGCGCGGGGAGGACGGCGGCAGGGAGACTCTGGGCGGCGACCCAAACGCGCGGCGCTGCAGGCGGGTCTAGCGGCGCCGTCGTGCAGCAAGCCGAGCAAGCCGAGCAACCTGTCGGCAACAAGTGGGCGCGGACTCGCAGTGCACTGGTTGCTTGCAGTGGCGGGGAAGCAACAGCAGACAAAATGCACATTCAGATACA